TCCACCGGACCGGCTGCTTCCGGTTTAATCCTTTTGTCACCAATCTTCTTCAACGGCTAAAACATTTTTTCTACTCTTCCCATCGGAATGACCGGCAAAAGCTAAACACAATTACGCAATTTAATGTCATTTGTTTGGACATAACTGTGATTCTTTTTTTATTTTCCGAGGTCGTTTTGTGTCTTTCACCGTTTAGTTTTCATGCTTAGAAGTAGACTTTTTTTTTTTTTTTTGGTTTTAATTATTTGTTGTTTTTGTTCCTTTTTTCTTTTTTTTTTTTTTTCTAAAATGCCTTTTTTTATTGAATTGCACACAGTACTGTTAGATTTTTGATATAGAGCTGGTTTGTATGATTGTATCCAGATGAAAGATACAGGAATGGAAATAAAACATATTGTTTCTATCTTAATTATAAGATACTCAGATTAGTTGGACTGTTTTCACTTTATTTCAAGGTTAGTTAAATTATATGAAAGCATGCATGCTTATTAGCAAATTCGTATTTATAATAATGATGTGTCCTAGTATTGTATCACCTTCTAAATTTATTTCGAGAAAAATTTAAAAAGAAGAATTAACCAAATCCTGGTTTTGCTAACATAAAATATTGTTTAGTTTTGGTTTTTGCTAGTTTTTATTGTAAACATATGTCAAACACGGTTTTACACTTCGAGAGAAAATATTGTATACAACCAAGGATTACCTAGTACTTCGTTTCGTGCTAATGAAGTTTGTTTTGGCCGTTGCTGTTGTTGCGAAATGTAAATCATAAAACTATAAATTGGTCCTAGAAGATGTAAAGTTACTCGAAGCCACCACAAGAAAAGAAACATTCCATTTGCAGTAAACTGTTTTTGTTTCATGAATCCTTTTTCATATTCAATAAAATTTAGTGGTTGAACAAACTCAGTATAAATAGTTTTACATGCAATATATTAATAATACACTACTTGTATATGTTTTGGGATGGTTGAGCACTTATTAAGCTGTTAATTACTTAGCCCTATAAACGAGAGAGATTGGCCTAAAACATGACCGACAAAACCCTTTAATTACGCGCTACAAATTGTTTTCTTATTGTTTTGTTTGCTAATTCCTAAGTTTGAACCCAAAACTATATACTATTTGATTAATGATATTATTCTCTTGAATTTTAAAAGATTTGCCGATTGTTTTTTTTATTTCAACACCGAATAATTCTTCACTGACTCCTAAGGTATATTATTGTTACACTTACACATTCGCTTTGCCCTTGGTAAAAACTTTTTAAAAAAAAATCAATACTATACAGAATCTATGATCGGTGGTCCAGTGACAATCTATAAATAGTACAAACCATAAAATATGGCACCAAAATTATCTACATGTGAAAGCTTTATAATTTATCGAAGGTAAGTGCTTAAAAATCCACTTATTTTAGTAGAGCATCTAACAATTGATATAAATAAGGTATATTTTAGTTTTCAATAATTTTTGATAGATATTATCACTTATGATTGTTTTTATTTACCAACCAAACCATGCATAGAAACACCACAACAAATAAGTTCGTTAGGCGGAGGTCGATATATTTGGACGCTCGGTTCAACGTATGACATATCCACTAACACCCCAACCCACAAAAAAGAAACGACCGTAGTATCACTCACCACCCTTCCCTCGGATGATTAGCTTTTGGATCTTTCAATCTAATCATGATAATGCTTAGCCTATGCATGATGAGACTTCACGTAGAGCTGACCAAGCAATATGAACATCATTATTATAGAAGGTGATCAAAATCCCTTTTGGTCATGTTACATATAGAATTTCTTGACAAACATATGACACATAATGCAAGAGCCGTTTGATCACGCAAGCAAGAACAGTCAAATTCCCATCTTATCCACTAAAAAAAGAAAGACATAGTACTAGCAAGGTCTAATCAGACCATCGGATTCAAATCAAATCATTTATTGTATAAATAATACTCTCCTCAATTGCTTATAATGTGAAGTAACAACATGGCTGGATCATCTGCATTGCATTTGGAAGAATCATGACACCAAAACACAGCACCATAACAAGCTTCAAATTTTTTATCATTTATGCAACAAAAAGAATAAAACTCGATTATTTCGCATTGGTCTGGTAGAAACCCGAACACTTTTTCCATAAATATTGAACAAAAAAAACAAACAACAATGATGATGAGTGTAGAAGAATACGTTAATTAGTTTATACAAAAGTGTTAAAGAACAAAAGGAAGCCGTAATTAATAAGTATATATAAGTAAACAACAATCTTGTAAGTCAATAATAAATCAAAACAGATTCTTTGATTTGCTAGTTACGTCTTCTGTAAAAGACAAAAAAAAAAAAAAAGGAAAATCTTCCAAATTTCTACGAGAGAGTGAACGAACGGTCAAAAAAGAGAAGCTAAAAGCCTACAACAACAACAACGTAACAAAAAATAAGAAATTAAAACAAAGTACAAATACTATATACTACAGAAATATATATATATATAATTTACCGGAAAATCCGAACGCTCGTCAGGAGCCGAGCCGAGCTTTACTTAAAAACTAATAATCCTGTGTAACGCATATACACCAAAAAGATGGCGGAAAACTGAAATCAACGGTGGAGATCATCTGAAAGAGGAAAAGTATGTGGGACCTACGTATCTAAATGTGGGAATCTTTCTCATGTACGGTCGGATTTTGATGCTTGTGGACCCCCACCTTTTTCTCCATACCTCATTCATTTTTACAAGAAGACCCTCTCCACGCCTCATCATCATTACTACACTTCTCTCTTTATTAATTAATTATATTTATAGTTTAAAGTTTTCATACGTTACGAAACGTTTAACCAAAGAAAGACAAAAAAAAAAAAACGTTACGAAACGAAAAATGAAAAGAAAACACAATCAATTAATAAGAAGAAGAAAAAAAGAGAGAGAGAGAGAGAGAGGGAGAGGAGAGTTGAAAAAATGAGAAAAAGAAGTAAATTTTTTTTTGAGTGGGAACATTTGTGTTTAAAAGTGGTGGTGGTGTAGCAGTAGTGTAATGTAAATAGGTGAGTGATAACAAAAAGAAAAGTGATTGGTACGAAATGTTTCTTTTGTTTTTCTTAACTTAAAAATTAATAAATAAAAAAGGAGAGAAAAGATCACAAAGAGAATCTGAGGACTGTAAATATATTTGGGGGCACAAAATCCATCTCCGATGACTTTGTATGATAAGGACACCACCATCACCATTACGATACAAACAGCCACCAACAGCCTAGTGGTGTAACATGTGACTTTCACTTCCCTAATTAATCTAACGGTATACGTTGTTTAGTTGTGTAAATCCACCGAACTGCAAACTAATCATATATGATGGATATACTCTTGTGTGTGTAGTGTAACCACGATATTTAACAACAATACTACATCTTCTTTTTACTATATTAGGTTATAATGATTAGGTTATAACTCATTTCAACCTTCTATTATTATTTCTCGTAACCAAAAACAATTCTCTTTTTCTTCTTCTTGTTTGTTGATTTTTTGTTGTTGTCTAAAGGTGGAATCGATTGGCATCGTACATAATCATAGGATTCCCCTCTCCTATAAATAATAGTTGATTTTACAAAATAACCATGATCGGAACTTTTACTTGCTATATTTGAAATGAGACTTTGCTCCGTTGTTTATCTTTCCTATGCGAGAGACAAGACATCTAAAGTGTGTCTCTGTAATATGTAACGTCTGATTTTACTCGGCGACACTTTTATACAAACAAATTGGTTATTGGGCCGATACCTCATCCATTTGCCATATGTAGTACTTTTTTCTTTTTTTGAACACCAATGCATATGTAATACAACAAGGAGTAAAACCATATGAATAGGTGTGATGGAATATATAGGAAATGAAATGATTATCAGTGTCCGGGGTTTTTGGTATCATTGGGCTTGGATTGAATTCAATGGGTTTAAGCCAATACCTTCGGTTGTTTTTAAGTTGTTGAGATATTTTGCCATTGCTTCTTCTTAAATTGGCCAAATAGAAAAACTTTTTAGTCACGGTTAATGGACTTTCCAGATGGAATACAAAGCCCATATAGGTAGATGGAAGTGAGAAGAGATGTAAACTTGTTGGATGAAATAAATGGATCATGGAGAAATAAGAAGAGTACTGTACAAATAGGTTATAAAGCCATAGTTCTTTTACTTGTAGGCAGCTTGGCATTTGTGAAGGAGGATTTGAGCATCGATGTTTACCTATGGATGGGTATGTTAGATATGTTATAGGGTTTTATGTTTGGCGATCATTTGTTTTCAATTAGTCAACTTTATAATTCGTTTTGTTTTCTTGATATTTTCTGAGGATCAAGAACCTAGATTAATTTTGCAAATCTAATATCGACAAAATTAAATTATTTAGTTTACTGCTCTGCTCTTCGGTTTAAAAATACAAAATTTTCAAAAACTTATCAAATTGTAATATAGTATGTCCTCATGTGTTTATATTATCATTAGATGGCACTATACTAAAAACAAGGCTTTTAACGTCAGACCTTCAGTTATTAGGTAGGTTAACGTCAATAATAAAGTGATCTTAATAATATGAGGTTGGTTTGGTACATGACGTATTATGGGCCGACGTAAAATTTCCTTGCGTCATTTAGCAAACAGACATTTTCCAAAAATTCCAGCGTCATCTATTTTTTTTATATGTTGTTTACAATTAATACGAAATTATATATCGGCTTAGATTTATAAAATAATGGTTATATGTATATTTGTTTACATAATTTGTTTAGTTTTTATGATTTTATTTTAAATATTATTTAACATGGTATAGTACTCTATTTTTATTGGTTAGAGTAATAAGAGGTGTAGAAAGTGAGTGTAGTAAATTAGAAATTGTAATTGTTGTGGTAGAGAGAATTGTGGTGGATTATATAGCGGAGGAAATGACTGGTGGTTGAGGAGGAAGTGGCTATATATGGTGATGGGAGAGGAAAGTAGAAAACTATCCAATTTTGATTTTTTTCAAATTCAAGAGCAAAAGGTAAAACACAATACAGGAAAGCTAAAACACAACTAAAATCCCCCATCATGCATTGTACGGATTCGAAGTACTATGCCTTCAGTTATAAGAGCAAAAGGGTAACAGAAAGGATCCAGTGAAGTTTGTCTTAATTATAGTAATCGTCCTCTCTAACTTTAAGCAGTTCGACATCAAACACCACCCAAGCATCAGGAGGAACCTTGCCACGAAGGCCTTTCGCACCATACCTGTGAGCCAGCCAGAATATAATAATTATCTCATTAAAAAGGTTAGATAACATATGACAACAAAAAAACAAAAGATAAGGCTTATTAACTTACGCCATTGCTGGAGGAACTGTAAGCCTTCTTCTGCCACCAACACGCATGCCTTTGAAATTTAAAAGAAATAAATGAGAAAGAATCAAAACATCATGTTGGCATGGCACCATTTGAAAATATCTAGTGACAGTAAGAAATTAAAGCTAGGTTACCAATAAGGCCCTGATCCAATCCCGGAAGGACAATTCCAGCACCTGCATGTAACAACAAGCACTAAGTATCCAAGTACCACTCACTGACTACAAAGCCTCTTTTTGAACAAGTACTAGTTGTATAACACCAACCTAAAAATAACTCATAAGGAGATTCTCGAACGATGGAAATAAAAATCTTGCCATTCTCCTGAAGCGTTCCAGTATAACGATAACTAACCTGCACACCGAGACAGCAAAATGAGATCCAGTTGACAAGTTACACACAAACTACATTGACGCACTCTGATAGGACCAAACCCACAGAGATGATTTTGGTCTAGTATTCACCACAACTTAATATATAGTTTTGGTGCTCCTATATATGAGACATTTTGATTTTCAATTCCTATCCAATATGGTGCTTGTTCATATATTTCCTATCTTTATATACTGCCACAATAGCTTGTAGCATAATCTAATATGTAGCTAAGGTAATCATGTGGTAATATCATATGTATGCAATTTAGGACCTAAATGCGCATACCAATTTTCCAGGAACAGCGATCTTGCCATTGCCCACGCGTATATCTTCAACAACAAACCCATCTGACTCAGATGTTTGCTTTTCAACGCTACTAGTACCGGCTTTATTCTTACTCTTTAATCTATCCAGTTCCTCTCTTAGCCTCCTTAACTTCTCCGCAGGATTACGTGGGCGATTGGAGCTTTCTCCCCTGCATTGATAACAAAAGAAAAAAGACCAACAGTTATAAGATTTGAAAAGGTTTGAATAAAACCATCATGCACTCATAAAGCCGTATTGACTTGTGACCTAATCATAAACCTACTCCCAAATGACATGAATACTTTCGACTCTACATTTTTTTAAATCAATCAGTTAAATCAATCAGTTAACCTCATTTGCGGAATGGCTTCATCACTGGTAGAGATGGCTGCATCACTGGTAGAGATGGCTGCATCTAAGAAAACAACAGAAGTTTAATATGTTATCAAGAATAAAGAAATCAAGAATAAATACAAGTGTACGGACGTGGGCGAACAAGAGGTCCACGGTAGCGAGGGGGACGTTGGTGGACAGTGTATATTCCCGGTATATCAACCAACCGAACAGATAATTTGCGTCCTCCCATGTAGCTCCCATCAAGTTCAAGCACCTTATTTGCTATGTTTGTTCCTTCCATATGTGCCATAATATAAGTGTATCTGCAAAATAAGCAAAGACAGCAAGTAATATAGTTAAAGAGTGTTTAATAACTTGAGATCCGAGTTGAGTAAGAAATTGGGAGGGAGAAGGCACCACAAACCCGTCGAGATTATGGATAGCAGTGAATTCTCCATATGAAGAGAAATGTTCACGCAAAGATGTGTCGATATCAATCTTACTAAGCCAAGTGTCATATCCTTCAATATCTACCATAACTTCACTGCAATAATAGGAGTGCAGGCCAGAGATGAGATATATACAACACATGCAAGAACACACACGATACACAAATTGATGAAATAAAAAAACAAAAAAAAAGGCAAGAGTTTAATTTAATATACTCGTTTGCATCTGGAGGAAAGGGAAAAGCCTCAACAGAGATATTCCATCCCTCCACATAGGTTCCATTAAGTTTCAAGGCCTTAGATACTGCGACTGCGCCATCTCCCAGAAAATATATGTAAGCACTTCTGCATGTGAAACACAAAAAAAAACAACAATTGACAATAAGCACGTACGTCACTTTCAATAATTGAGTTGAGATCATCAGCTGGAGGAAGAAGAAATAAGCCACAATATACCTCTCTAGAATATTAGTCTTAGGGTCAAACTCGACGTCTATGGGAATATCATCCATAGAGTCCCAGTCTATGGGAGCACAAACATCCGTGATCTCTCCACATGATGAGAAATGTTTTCTCAATGCCCTCTCCACATCATTATAAGGAAGCTTTATATCATATCCCGATACAGTTATCCTCCCAACGTCACTGCAACGAACGTGACAGGAACGAACACACATATGCATCGATCCATCTTAATTACAATATTTTATTTTATTTTTAAAGAAAGGAGACGAATATCGAATCAGTTTACCTGAGTTTTGGCAGCACTTTAAGTCCCTAAAAAGATATAGAAAATATCTAATCAGAAACCCTAATAACTCGAAGTATTGTGCTTACATATACTTTGTGAAGAAATCATAAATTGAGAGACAAGGGTTACAGATTTAATAAGAAGAAAAGCAATAAGGGAAATAAATGAAGAAGAAGGTTACCTTGACGGCGGATTCGTCCATGGATTCAGAAGTTGAGACTTGAGAGAGCTGCGAGGCGGCGATTGAAAAGATCTCTTTATATCAACCCTAAAATTTGGCACGAAATTATTATTACATATAAATACATATAATAAAGTAATATATTTTTTAAGTCTACAAAAAAAAAAGTAATATATCCTTAAGTATTTTACAATATATCCATATCTGATTAAAAATTGTCGTGTTCGTAAAGGTAACTTCAGTTTTTGTAGATTCAATTGTGTTAGTTTGGCAAAAAAAAAATAACAATACATAATATATGGCAAAACAAATCGATTACTCAAATAATATACCTTAAAAACATAAGAAATCACATAGGTTTCTAAAATATCTCTACTAATTTATTTTATAATTTCCTAAATTAATTTTTGTATTCATAAAATATTTAAATTTAATAATAAATTCCTAAAATATCTCTACAACATTAATTGTTTTCTTTTTGTTTATTGTTTTTTCTGGTCACCAACATTATTTATTATTTTCCTTTAAAATCACTAAAGCTCAACGTTTTTTTTCAACAAGAAAAAGAAAAAAAAAATCAAATATTATACAATAACAATATTTATAGATTATTCATTTTCGGAAATCTTTCTAACACAACTGAAAACATATACCTTAAAAGTTAAAACATCATATATACATTTGTTCTAATAGTTCGACAGATCAGAGATCCTATTTAATTTCATAGTTTTTTCCATAACAACCATATTGAATCCTAAACATAAGGCATATTGCCTAAACAATACTAACTAACAGTTGCGGGATAATTCATTTTCGGGAATCTTTGATACTGATTTTAGAGAATATTTCTAAAGTTTTATTAGCAATCATATATAGCATTCATTTCGGATTTCTTATCATGTAAATGTTGGTTAATAATATCTAGCACCTCTTTCTTAATCACAAAGCAATTTTTGAATTTTGATTACCAAAAAAAAAACAATTCTTGAATTTTTATCATATAGCCTAATTAACCTCTATAAATAAGTTTTCGTTAACAGACTTATCACATTAACACAAATTCTACCTTTAAACTGGATAAGAAACCTTTAGATTTGAGACCTTACAAAGCCACATGGTGCGTTCAAGTAAAGATCATGCGAAAATGAGCTAAACATGGTATACACTGGTGAACGTATAGGTTTCCATGCATGCACTGAAATTTGCTTCTTAACATTTCTATTATTAACTAATATAATATGCTAACTCTTTAGTTTCAAGCTTCATCTTCGTGTTATAATAACTCGAAGTCTCGAACTGCAGTAAAACTCCTATATGATTCATTTCACCAACGTCCAAGTGTGCAAAATATTTTTCTTATAATGATCTGACTGGTGTTTGTTATTGTTGGGAATTGATCTTTTGCTTCTTAACATTGACTGAAATTTGCTAACTAAAGACCCATTATAATCTACAATGTTTGTTGTTCTTGTCTCATAATATTTTCATTCATTTTTGTATACATTGTTGGACAAATATTTGTGGCGTAGATACAAAATTGTTGACAAATACAAAATAGCTGAGACAGCGGCCGGTGACTTTTGTTTTGTTTTTGTGTTTTCTCCCTTTTTTAATCTAGATTCATAATTTATTTTTTTACTTTTCAAGTTATAAATTAAAAAATATTTTAATATATCAGCTTGAAATGAAAATCTATATTATTATTTTGATGTACATTTTTGTTGCCACCTTTTTAAAAAATCCATTTCCAAAAAATACCTTTTTATTCTAAACAAATTATAAGAAAATCATTAAGGATAATGGTGTAATATATTAAAGTCGGATCGGTTTTAAATCAAAAATTAAAACCTGATTACAATAATCGGATATTCATTAATTATATTAAAAATTTTGTAGTTATGGTAATAAACAAAAAATCTTGGATCTTCACCAACAACTGCCTTTTCCATATATTTTGATTATGGTTACGTAAATCTTTGTTTCGTATGATTTCGATATCAGTTACAAAATAAAGATTAAATGTTAATATTAACATTCAAATAAAAAATCAAAGAAACTCAATTATTTTAAACACTGAAAAACAGTTATATGGTGGAATATTAGTTTTATAAATTTGAAATAACATAGAGCTCTGGTTAAATCATCATTTTATAATTTTGTTAATACCATCCCTACCAACTTTATATAAAAATCCAAATACTTATATTTATTTCAAGTGCACGTGAAATATATTCAATAATGAGTTGTATTAAGTCTTCATATATAAATATATAGTTTTATCCGTCACAAATATAAATTATATATATATATATATATATATATTATTTTAACGAATCTGAGGTTCATTATATTAAAAATACACATATAATACTCATAATTCTTAAAAAATTCGGCCCATATGAATTCATCAACAAACTTTTTTTTTTTTGCAAATACAACTATATTATAATTTTGTATTATAACACTATAACATTTATATTAGTCACTAAAGAAACTCAATCATTTTGTTACACCAAATCATGAATATCACATAGAAATTTTGAAAATAAAATGGACTCGTAGTGTACCACAGGATAAAAATATGTTTTTGTTTAACAAAAGAAAATACAGGAAATTCCCTTCCCGCTCTAGCCCAGGTATGCATCTAGCATATTTTTCGATATATATAAACCACAAAAGAGACATGTTTCATGTTGGCAATCAAAATACTATGCTAAACAACCTTTGTCTATAATCGTACATATATAAACTATAACGGTTAAGGTTTTACATAACATATACGCATAAAATACTAGCCTTGTGGTATAACACGGGGTAAAATCTAGTATCTGATTAAAAATTGTCGTGTTCGTAAAGGTAACTTCAGTTTTTGTAGATTCAATTGTGTTAGTTTGGCAAAAAAAAAAAAATAACTGTGTAGAAAATCTTTACATAATCGGATCATGTTTGTTTAGTTTTTTTTTTTTTTTTTTGAGAAAAAATCTGACATGATTAAATTTTATTGCTTTATAATATAAAGTTTTTTAAATCAGTTTTTTAAATATATCTTGGACTTTCAAACTATTTACAGTCATAATGGGTCCTCTTTATTTATAGAATCATAATGTCTTTTTTTTGTTTTTTTTTTTTTTTTGCAATTTAGATTTTAACATTCATGTAAGACTATCCTCGTTGGGGGTATATTAGCCTTTTAAAATATCCCAATGAAAATACCCTTAACCATCTTCCCACGTTGTCTCCTGTTAATAATGAAAATAAATAAACAAAAAATACTACTTTAAAATTAATATGTGTTAAGTGAGAGATTGATATTTTGTATAATAGTTGGCGTCTCCGTGTCTGTATAATTACAACTCCTAATGGAAAGCCATTAGGGTATTAACTATGCATATGTAACACATGACAATACTTAATTATATATGAAGATATAATCGAAGAAGATGAGTCGGTGTATCCTAGTAGAATCGATAGTTTTAAGTAACATTTTATAGATGTAAACACACATCTTCGATTTAATTTGTGAGATTCAAGTTGAGATTTTTAATTTCCCTAAGCATTGAATATTACAAAAATTGGAGCATTATGCATATGAAACACATGACAACAATTATTTATATATGAAAAAAAAGTCGAAGAAGATCAGTTGGTGTATCCTAGTACGAACAATAGTTTAAGTAACATTTTAATACTTTAGATATAACAATTAGCATAATTGGTACGTAATGTGTGCAACATGTACGCAGCTCAGAATTCATGATTAAAGAAAAATACTCGAATGTATAGAGTAGTGCTTTCAAGCTTTTTTTACAACTCTTTTTTCCAACTTGTTAAATAACTTAATCAGTTTCGTACTTACTTACATATGCATGGTTATAAACGAATGCTAATTGTTTGCATAATACACAACTGTAATAAGTGTGTCTCGTCGGTTTCATGGTTTATGGTGCCATGGCTTCTTTAGTCCACGTTATTTTTAACTAAACAAAACGAAAAATACAGATGTAGATGTAGCTTTAAGACTCCTCATATATATAGTTTGGTTTGAATGGTTCTAAACGATGTTTATCTTCCTCTGCACATGAAAATGCCTAGTTTTGTTTTCGATTACTATTAATGTGGTGTTCGAGACATATCTTTGGTCAAGTTGATTTGAAGCTCTTAATGTTCGATTGATCCTTTTTTAGGAGTATAATTTGAAGAGCTTAAGAGTGCTAAAACTCTCTTTCTCTATAGTTTTTGTTCAACGTACGTTTGTAATTAATAATGTTTATAAGATTTTACATTATTTTTTTCCATGTCAACGATATGCTATTTCGAATTGTTGTCTCTCGTTCTTTTAAATTATAAAGAAGGCCGTCCTTTCATAGATTAATAGATGAAGAAGATGTACGTAGCTTTAAAACTCGAGGCGCTTATATATTTCTGAGTCTCAGATTTGTTTTATTTGGATCTTAAATCTTGTTCGTAGTTATTTATACACTTGCGTTTTCTTTTAATTAAATTCCCACATCACATGGGGTAGAAAGTAGAATACATAATAGAGACATATGTAAGGCGATGATACTGGAGCAGCATTAGAGTACAAATCACATGGGGCATCGATGTTCTTGTGAGTAATTATGTTTTGTGTATTTTGATTTTTTTATAAAGAAAAAGCATCATATTGTTTCCAACTGATAAATATTATATACCTGCTGTTTTAGAACTTCTTTTTTTAAAAAACTAATATATTATTATAAATTTGAATAGACGAGTTATTGATTTTTTTTAGTCAAAGAAAAAGTAGTCGTGTAAGCAAAAAGAAAAAAGTACCTGAATATTACTGATTAGATATGCACAGTCATTTACCTAATGAATATTACGAAAAACAATATCATAATCACTTGCCATCATCGCGAGCCAAACCAAATTTACAATATAATGATTTTCATAATTTCCGCATTCTATCACGGGATACATTTCACTAGTGGCGTGTAACGTGTTATTTAAGCGTACTCATTCACCCATAGATAAGGTTTGAATATTTGACTGATAAATACATTAATTAAGGTGATAGATATATATAACTGTAAACATTTCGAAAATATCATGCGGTTTGGTTTTATACACATATATTTTATTTTTTTTCTAAGATAGTAGATTTCGTAATTTTGATTAATAATTTTTTTTAACACTAGTCAAAATTTGATTACTTTTGTAGAAATTTGAACTCATTGAGTTATCATTCAGTAGTCGTTATATCCGTTCTTCGTAATCCAGTATTCCATACCATTACCAACATTATATTATAGGATATTATGTGGTGATTTAGTCCATAGACCATATAGTGTTCGAACGTAAAATTCTGTATACATTAAAAAAGACAACGCTAGATCTTGTCGACCTTAATTTATTATGTCGACACGGAAAGGGAAAAAAGGACAAGCGTTCATAACATCGATAATGGATTTTGGATCACGTGCATTAGAAAGGAGACAACCTTTCCACGGAGCAAGAAGTGTTGTGAAGCAAAAGAGAAGAAGAGAAAGAGAATATGGAAGCTTTGAGATCGAACTCAACCAAATTATCTTCCATCTGAAATCCTCCGATCACTATTGGGTTCTTCGGATTCACACCTCCGTCCACGAACCCTAAACAAACCAAGTTTTTATTCACCTTCACCAAGGAGTTAGCCCCATGTATCCTCCACTTAGCCCCTCCTCTCAGCACCAGGTCCATCATGGGAGCTCCACGTCCTCCACTGGAGCTGAAGCACGCACCAAAAGGCTTCACGGCTGGAGCTTTAGCCATATTGGCGTTTACGGCATAGGCTGTGAGAAGAGCCTTGTAGATGGAAGTTTGCAATACGGTGTAAGGAGCCAAGGTGCTAATCTTTGTGGCTCCATGGAGTATAGGAACGTTTTTTCCACCTACTTGGATAGACTTCACATCTATTAAGTACTCCCCGGACTTGGCATTACCGATCAGAGGCGTGGATGCAAAGATCTTTGAAACATCTTTTAAGTAAGGCAGATAGTAATACTCCCCTTTGCCGATCCAAAGGCCACCAGGATAATTAATTGTTGATTTATCCTTGGAATTAGGCAAACAAAGAGCCATCTTTGGAGCGAGATGATACATGGAAATGAGCTGCGAGGGAATGGACAAGTGGGTGTTAGCGAGACCGATGGTTCCTTTGACAGGAGCACCATCAGTGCAGGTCAAAGTCAGCGAGGAGCTCTTTTCACTGTCCATAATGTAAACTCCATTGAATGTGTATAATAACGGGACGGTGTCTCGGAAGAGCCGGGCATTGTCGGAAGAGCGGCACGGGGTCTTCGCCTTAGTGGTGGTGTTTTTGGGACAGGAGAAGCTCGGGTTGGCGTAGGTGCATCTCGTGGAACCGCATCTGATGGGGTGGAAGGAGGAGGACTTGGCGGCTGTGGCACAGTTTTGCAATAACGGTGAGACTCCGTTGAGGTCAAGAACGTATTCCTTGCTGAAACCTGAGCCGATGTTTAAAGGGATGGAGTAGAGATTTGTGGCCTCGTCTTTATTAATAGGGTGTAGAAATGATTGAATCTTTTCTAACGAGTGTGATGTGTTTGCAAGGTAGAGAAAAACAAGAGAGAGGAAAACGAAGATCACACGAGGAGCCATTCTTTTTTTTTTTTTGGAGATTTGTTGTTACTTAGTGATGTGATGTGAATAACTAAGACTAAAACCATCATGTATATATATTTGTAGACAGATATGACAGCCAGAATGCAGAACTCATAAGCATCTTCTCACGTGGTCTCATTTTAATATCAAACGAATAACAAATCACTAACTATATGGAAAAAAAATCACTAACTATATGATACATGTCTGTATAATTACGACTGCTAATGTGGAACGCCATAATGCCATTAGGAGTATTTATTATGCATATTTTAACGCAGAGATGACAAGGCTTAATTATATATGAAAAAAAAAATCGAAGAAGATCAGTGGATCGGTGTATCCTAGTACAATCGAATATTTTATATATTATTAATAGATGTAAACACACGTACATCTTCGATTTAATTTGTGAGATTCACGTTGATATTTATTTTTAAATTTCCTGGCGTTGAATCTTACAAAATGGGAGCATTCTGCACATGTAACACACACATGCAACAAATATTTATATTTGAAAAAGATTGGAGAAGATGAGTCGGTGTATCCTAGTACGATAGATATGATTTACTCATTTAGTAACATTTTTATATCTTGGATATACTACGTTTAAGTAACAATTAGCATTAATTGTACGTAATGTATGCTCAGAATTTATAACTCACGTGGTGGGATCTTCTATTCCATAACTCTAGCTCATATGGTCATACTCATGAAAACAACTTTGTTTCTGTAATTTCCCTTTTGTCCAAATAAAATAATCATACATCTTGAAGACATTAACGATGAAACTGGTAGACTAATCCTCAGTTTGTTTTGGAAATTTTAAAATGATCCAGAAGAATCTGCTTTGGGTTATACAAAGGTTTCTGCTTAAACGAGAATGCGAACCTAGCTTAAGGCGTTTTAATATGGTTTTTTTTTTTCATTTGTTTCTTCCTATCCAACATGTAAATGAAAATAAACTTACTTTTATCAGAAAACAACTCATATATTTATAATTTTGTTACCTTCTTCTATATAAAAAATTTCTTCATGTATAGCAAATTCAGTTTCTTAAGATGACTATATGGCCAGCTCTGTTTTACACAGCTTCTTTTTGTTTTTTTTTTTTTTTTTTTTTTGGTCAAAACACAGCTCTGTTTTTAAGATGACTAGTCATGTATAATTTTTTTTTATGGAAATTCTGTATAAAAAATTTCTTCATATGGCCAGCTCTGTTTTACACAGAAATGCTAGAAAAATATACATAGTCTTAATTAGTAGAGATATACTAGTAATCAAAACACCAAAAAAAAAAAAAAGCATGTGGCCATTAAAATGATATTACAGCATTCCCATATATTTCCGAATCCATGACCATAACTATATATTATAGTGTAACAAGTGCAATAATTCTTATGAGACTTTTTCTTGGAGGCCCTAGCAGTTGAAATACTGAAAAGCATGTGTTTGTGTAATTTAATGATATATCGATATGATATCTGGACCGCATTCCCATATAGTCTCGAGATGTATCTTGCGCAATAATAAAACATTTTTGTGTCTTCTCCTCACGTCACTTAAGTTTTATACAATAAACTAGTTTTTTATTTCTCTGTGAAACAAGGTCTAATAAGTACCAGAGACAGAAGACCCATGCTCATTTGTTTTGGTTAAAATTTCTCCCTAATCTGACGATCTCGGAAGCATTTATGTGGTTATTTTTACTATGTTTTCTTTTGGTCCAACAACGCATTTGAACTCTATATAATACATAACTATTTATTGCTAGGGTGGTGATTACTAATTCTAGCCTGTTACAATATTAATTATAAATATGATTGTTCGTTTAATTTGGGTTGGTTTTTTATTAAGAAAAATCGATGAACTTTATATTAAGAAAATATGATTGTTCATTTTGTCCCACATATTACATAAAACGTATCCGCTGGCGTAAAGTAGCATCTTTAGAACTTTGTAGCCGAGAAACAAAAACATTAAAACATGCTTTTTGTAATTTGAAGTATAATCAAACGATTTTCATGTTCACAGAAAAAAAAAACTTCGAAGATCAAAACATATGAGATTTTATGCATGAAGGACTTAACTTTATAATTTGTTTACTCTAATATATATGAAATATTATCGTGCCTTGTATCTTAATTGAAATCGACCTCCAGTATTAAAATATGAAATTTTCTTATAATGTTATATATATATATATACGAATATGTTTTGAAAACCTTGGCTTTGAGTGTAAAGGACTGAGCAAGAGCATTGTAGATATCGGTGTGGAGTAGGGTGTAAGGAACCATGGTGCTTAGCTTGGCTCCACCCTCAAGCAAATTAGGGCTCAACGACAAGGGAGTTCCGTCAACGTAGATTGATCTAACGTCGAGAAGATAACTTTCCGAGTTTATGGCTTTTAACGGTGACAGAGTCATCGGACTAACGCTACTATTGAACGGCGGGATGAAGTAGTTATCTGCGGCGATATAGAAATGACCGGCGCCGGACGAAGGCAAGCAGAGAGAGAATTTAGGGCTGACTCCGTAAAAGGAAATCACCTGTTTGATGAACGAAGAAGATACGGGAGAAAGACTTAGGATTCCGGAGACCAGAGGAGGAAGGTACGTGATGAACTCTTCCCCGCGGTAGTCAGAGATTGTGAGAGGGTTGATGGAGACTTCAGAGAGGAGTTTGCCACCGTCTGTGGTGGAGATGCTTACTGTGTCTTGGATGACATAGGCTTCGATGCTGGCATTTTGACCTAGAAGGCTTGATAGTCGGTAAACACAGGAACAGTATGGGTCGCCGTCGTCCCAGCCATGGCCAGGGATGGATTCGCATGTGGAGCTATGGCAAGATACGATGCTGTCAATAAACACTGAAACGTTGTAGTCGTAGTTGACCAACGTGAGGTTGCTTTCGAGATCGAGGAGGAGGTTTACGGGGGATTCTGTCGCGAGGGATCCGATGCTGAGAGTGGTGAAGAATAGATTGGTGGGTTCGTCTTTTATGATGGGAAGCAGGTATTGAGAGTTTGCTTTCAGAGTTATGGCTGCGAAAATGGAGAGAAAGACTATGAGACGCGTGAGGCTACCCATCTTTGTTGTAAATGATTAAGTGAATGTGATATTTTTGTGATGTTAGATGTTCTACTAATTAAGGTATGGTATTTATAGACTGTAAAACTCATTCTTGCGTACAAGAAAATGTAAATCACACACAAAAATAGAGATGATTATTATTCTTTCAGTATAAGAATGGTGGTTTAGGTTTTGTTAATTGTATAATTTGTAGTATTCTCTTTAATGTTTGAGATCAATTTGCGTTAAGAATAGATGTTTTGCATTTATTTGACCTAAGAGTTGAAATTACGCGTACTCTTACGAAGAAAGTTAGCTGTATTATGCAAATGAGTCACATTTGAAAATAAATGGAGAAGATGAGTAGGTGTATTGTTAAGGCTAGTTTAAGTAGCATTTAGCATTGATTAGTTCGTACTCTATGCAAAAGGAGCTCTACTTAAAAGTGTTGTAATTAGTAAGCACTCTCATGGTGGGGTTTAATGTCAATACTCAATCCGTCATATTTATTTATTTCATGTGAATTCTTTTATACTTGAACTTCAAATAGAAGTATATTATTAGCATTATTATTATTATATTAATAGAAGTATATTAAAAAGAAGTATATTATAAAAGTATATTAGACCGTGAAATAACATAAAATATAGTACGAAGAAAAACTAATTCAAATAGAAGTATGTATATATTATAAAGTCTTACTAGTCCAAACCAATTGGACCATATCACACCAAATGAGGCCCATATATACATGAGCCCAGTCTTACCTTTTTCGCAATACCCATTGTTCATACCAAACCAAACCGACTACTCCGACCGGTGGTAGTTACCAGTCGGGTATAAACTTTGCGGATATTCCTATAAAACCGAATAAAAATCTCACACGTGCCAAATTCCATTTCACTTTTAATAAAAACGGATAAACATTGACCAAAACATAAAGAGAGAGAGAGAGAGTCTCCACAAAAGAGCGAAACGACACAGCAAGTCTACTCAGCACTTACCTTAAAATGAACCAATCCTTATCGTCTCACATTCTCGCTAATACCAGCGTCGGCCCACCGCATCCCAAACCACCATAATAACCAAATCCAGATCCATCAACTCTCTCTTCACTCTTCTTCTAATGGCTTCTTCTCTTAACCTCTTCGTCTTCTCCTTCCTCTCTGCTCTTATCATTTCCAAATCTCAGATCTCTCATTCCGTCAACGGACTCGTTTTCCCTGTTCTTAAAGACCTACCAACCGCTCAATACGTCGCTCATATTCGCCTCGGTGACTCTCCCGACCCGGTCAAGCTCGTCGTCGATCTCGCCGGTTCGATTCTCTGGTTTGATTGTTCATCTTCGCATGCTATCTCGTCATCACGGAGTCTTATCTCCGGCAGCTCTACCGGCTGCCTTAAGGCCAAAGCTGGGAATCAAAAAGTATCTTCGTCACCGCCTGGAGACCTCCAAAACGCTGACGATTGCGAATTGCTTGTTAATAACGGCGCCGTTGGGATTACGGCGAGAGGAGAGCTTTTTAGTGACGTCATGTCATTTGGATCTGTTACTTCTCCGGGAACCGTTGATCTGCTTTTCGCCTGTACTCCTCCGTGGCTGCTTCATGGGCTCGCTAGTGGATCCCAGGGAGTAATGGGCTTAGGAAGGGCCCAGATCTCTCTCCCTTCCCAACTCGCTGCCGAAACCAACGAACGTCGCCGTCTAACTGTTTACCTTTCGCCGTTTGACGGCGTCGTGTCAACGAGTTCGGTTGAGGAAGTTTTCGGAGTAGCTACGTCTAGATCGTTGGTTTACACGCCTCTGTTAACCGGCTCGAGTGGTGGTTACGTAATTAACGTGAAATCGATCAGAGTCAACGGGGAAAAGCTCTCCGTCGATGGTCCGTTAGCGGCGGAGCTGAGTACGGTGGTTCCTTACACGATGCTGGAAAGCTCGATCTACGCAGTGTTCGTTGAAGCTTATGCTAAAGCTGCGACTAAAGCTACACAGGTGGCTCCCGTCGCACCGTTCGGGCTCTGCTTCAAGACTGAGGTAGAATTACCGGAGGTGGATCTGTCGTTGCAGAGCGAGATGGTGAGGTGGAGGATCAAAGGGAAGAATCTAATGGTGGAAGTCGGAGGTGGAGTCCGGTGCTTGGGGATTTTAGACGGCGGCTCGAGTCGGGTCAACCCGATTGTAATGGGTGGGCTACAATTAGAAGGCTTGATATTGGATTTCGATTTGGGTAACTCAATGATGGGATTTGGCCAAAGAACTCACTCTGATTCAGCTTCCTTGTAATACCAAACCGTTGTAACACATTAACTCGTAGATATCCTCGATTTTGATCTCTTTTGTGTGTACCCTTTTTCACGCATTTGTACTACTACTAATAGATTTAAAGCACAGTTTCTCCTTAGTTAAAAAAATTGTCTTTATACTTTTGACAAATGGATGAAGTAAATAAATAAAAAAAAGCCAATACAAAAAGTACATTCATTTCATGAATTTTCTAGCGATACATAAGACCTCTAATTGCTAATTATCATGCGACAAAATAGAATACTTCAACAATCTCAAACAGTGTGAAGCCGAACAACTATAGGAAATCAAAGTCACTTGCGACGGAACGTACATAAGAACTAGGAAGGATGAAACAAGATGCAGAGGCAAAGGAGCCAGCAAGGAAGATGAACCATACCTATGTACAGATATGTTGCACTCTTCCATGCCCACAACGACTCTAACCATGTCCAAAACTCTCCTCCCAGACTTAATCCTACGAGCCCTTCTCCAAGCAACTCCTTAGAGATTGCGAAAAACATGACCGGGAACCCGATTGTCAGCAACACCATACTGCAGAACGCACCCAACAGGCTCTTAATCTTTCTGGATCTCAATGCAGGCTTTATAGGCTGAGCCATTAGACATGTTGGTACTAGTAGCAACGCTCCAATCTCTGCAGTGGCGAAATTGATTATAGACATGAGGCAAAGACCAATGAAGGCAGCTGAGATGGTCACTGATTTCACGACAGCCCAGTTGGTTCCATGAAGCCGAGAGGAGAACGGAGAGCAACCCGGGATTGTGGCAAAAGTTATAAAGAGAAGCGACGAAGATGTAGTGCCCCACATGATGGAGCGGTTTCTTGGAGAATGTTGACCCGGTATTTGACAGATGAAATAAGGAAGGAGCGTGACAATGAAACCCAACAAATGCAAAGCAAAGACCTGTTTGGCTGCATCTAGCCATTTCCAAGACTTGAAGTTTCCGGCAGGGTTAAGTGTGGAATTAGTAAGAGCTTTACAGCCATCAATATATAAAGAGGCGGCAACCATTGGAAGAGGGGCTACAAGAAGAGCAAAGGCAATCATATAGACTCCTACAGAGATAAATTTGCTTGGCGAAGTCAAAAGGTAAAGGAAAAACGATTGATGGAACTTCTCGAGGAGGTTGTTCACTGATCTTATAGTTCCTTCCAGTAACCTGCGTTTCAAGAGAAAGCACATAGTTATCATCAACACTCAGACAGAGTCTAATGATGTATTGTAGTTCTTTAGCATAATAAAATTCACATACACTAGTAGCAGAGGTAGGTTTATTGTATAGGATAGTCGGAAATATAAAACAAACACTCACCGAGCACCTCGTAGGAAGAAATCATGTTGTCTTGTCTTGCTGTCAGGAGGAAATCTTGGTGAAACTTTCAAGGTAATTGCATCAACTTGATAATCGCGGAAAGCTCCATGGGGACCAGTTGGGATACCAAGGGCCTGATGAGAACGAAAAAAATTCTATTAACTTTCAAGGTCTTTCCTTGTTAAAATGTATTAGTGTGACTGCAACCACAAGAACTTAATAAAGAACAGATCGATTATCTATTTTACCTGGGAGTATAGTGAACTTGCAAGGGTAGCACTCCCTTCAAGATAGTCTGCGGCTGGGATACCAAAATTCCAGTCCGGATTTAAAGTATGCGCCAATTTCCCAACAGCTTCAAATATTTCCCCAATAATCTTTAGCCAACTGGAAGAAAGTAACGATACAACCTTCTCCACCCTGACATAAAACCCCTGCCTGTGCACGGCTAAGTAATTTACAACATTGATTAGGTCGAGATTTGGCATCTGCCCATTAGATGCCTCTGCATAGATACTTAGTGTGTCCTCAAACCTTTCACTTCTACCATCAACCTTCAAAACCAAAGCAGCAGCCACTGTTCCAGCTCGTCTGAAGTTATCAGCTGTATTTAGCTCGCCACACTTCAGCAAATCCGACGCCTTAAATGAAGGTGAGTGGTACTCAGTTAACCACGCAGCAACAGGTCTATAGTCTCCATAACGAGAATCAGCAACAAGCCATATTATGTCTTTGGATAGCCAGGTAACTCTAGCGAGCAAGGAAAAAAGAGAACTAGTAATGCCTAGAGACAAAGCCTCGTAATCTCCACCATTTATAAAATCATAAGGAGTAACCAGCACAATAGACTCCTTTCCATCACCACGAGGGGCTCGTATAATCCCAGCAACATTGACTCCATAAGAAGCGCAGCTGACATTATCCAGCAATGTATATGAATCAGGACCGGAGAAAAAGTGCAAGGGGTGAAATTGATTCCCTTCAGGATGGAACTTTTGATAATAAACTTCTGCACCCATTTCTGACATGTATTCTCCAATGAGCTTCTGGACTTCACTAGAAAAAAGTTACACGAATTGAGAACCATTAAGTTAGTTGGAAAAGGACAGAAATAGAAGAATATCAAGTGGTACATCTGAAAAACGATAGAATTGCAGAAAAGAAACGTGGACTATGCACAGTTGGGATCTCAGTAATCGAAGAATTAAGTATAAACAAATTACTTTCTTGGTTTCTTTTTTTTCATAACATAGGAATAGCATTTCATGAGAAAACTGGAACGAATTGCAAAGGAGAACAGACATACACACCCTGGCCTTCATGACTCAACCTAAAATTCTTTATATCCTTCACCAGTTTGCTTCCAGCAGAAACATCCCGATTAGAGAGCATAGACCGTGCAGAGCCTGAAAAACAGAGCCACAAAAGGAAATTTAAAGCACCAAAATATCAACTCACTCGAAGTCGGGAAGCCATAAACTCAAATCACTCAACAGTTTTAAACCCTCCTACAGATTCCAATCATAGAACACTAATTTAGTTAACAACCTCATAGTACACTAGTTGCTGATCCTACATTTTAAGAATCAAGTTTAACATCATTCGCATGATTCACATAGTACTTTTTTATCAACACCCACAAGATAACCAAATCTTAGAAACAGTAAGTTTTTTTTTTTTGGTGTGGTGTAAAGTGACAACGAGACTTGGATCCATATGTGAACTTGAAAAGCGTTCTTAAGTATGCCAAATACCTGGCATTAGAGCATTCTCGGAGATGTAAGTGTTCTTTGCCAGTAACGGTAAAAGTAGAAGCGCCAAAATCCCAGCAGCAGAGAAAACCACACTATAAAACACGATCAGAGCATTAATGAAAGCACATAGAAACTAAAGAAACATAAATAATGGTGAACACATTTTAACCTGAAAACAGGACTGTGAGCGATGAGAAAGATTCCGAGCCGAACGATTGGTCTCGGTTTGATTTTAGGAGATCCGTCATCGGTCTTCACCTCCTCCTCCTCCCTATTCCGTTTCTCTCCCGCCATGATCTACAGATCTCCGATCAATTTCGGGAGATTAGAGTCGAGTCAACCAACAAACTGTGATCTCCGGGAGCTTAGCTTGGGGATGATCCAGAATCGCGTGGCTTGGGAATTGTAGACGACGGGTCGATCCGGGCCAGCCCGACTAGAACTAGTGGGCTATATTTAGAAGGCTTTGTATTAAACTTTTATTTGGGCTTTATTCAAATTACGACGGTGCAGTCTTATGTGCCAAATAAAATTGTTTTTTTAAAACAAAAAATGGTCGTCCTACTAAATTAATTGTTTTCAATAGTTATTTAGAAATATACAAACTCATTTATATAAAATTTTTGAGCCATCGCTTACCAATTTTTTTTTTTTGGAGCCATTTTTATAAATAAATGACAATACATATTGAAAATACATATCAGAGAAGATATATATATATATTTTTTGTTTCCTATTCGTAGTGGGAAAAATATAGAAAATGCCAAATAAAAAGAAGAAATCGAAAAAGTCGTGATTATTATCCGAAACTAAAAAAGAAGAAGAATATTTAAAATATCAGGTATATATAAAGCTTGATATGAAGTGTTATGTGGGATGCATTATTATGGATGATCGAAGCTAAGGTGATTGAGATGTGGTGTGTGACACAACTTTTGACGAATTATATCAACGATGGTCCAATAAGAATTGTTCATTTCAATGATACGGAATCCTCTAGATCGCACCATATTGCTTTTAAAAAAAAAAATATCTAGGAGTCATCATTTAAAATGAACATATATAGTGTTACAATATGTAGTATAAATTTAATACACAATTATCATGTTGAATAGTGGTATCGATCTGGCAAAAAAAAAAGACAAAAAAAAACAAATCTTTGTATATATGTCATGTTGAAATGAGATAATTTTATTTCTTGATTTGCGAAAAATATCAAAATCGTTTTCAACTTTCAGAGTTCCCACCACTCCCAGGTCCATGGTTGGCTAGGCTTTGCTCAGCCTCTCTTTCTATTTTCTACTATTGTTTTCTTGTAAATAAGAAAATAATACAAATATACTAGTGGCTGTAGTCTTAAAAATAATTTAAATGGAAAATGACTTTTTAAATATCAATAGAAATAAAATGAAATACCAGTCATTGTTTGGCATTCAATTTATATTATATTATTTTTATAAATATTGAGTCTTAACTTTATGTGAATATATGATTTTAATAAAGATGTATATTATAGAAAAGTCAAAAAAAATACTACACATAAATAAAAACATTATAATCAAGAAATTTGTGTGTATATATATATTTCATTGAAAGCTAAAAAATTGTCCATTCATTCAAATATTGCAGCTCTAATTTTCGGTTACGAATTAGTTTTCAATCCGAAATCTATAAAAAGGAGTAATTAGCATAATGTGAAAGCATTTGATGCATGTATACTTTAATCCAATATACAGTAGGTGTAGCCAAATATATTTTAAAACTAATTAATAAAAACCATTTTCTGAAGCGGACATGTAATAATTTAACATTGAAATTAAAAAGAAAAAGTAAATAAAATGAAACATAAATCAATATGTTCATTATCAAAACATTTAGAAATCCAATTAAACCAACATCTTCAATAGTAGAATATATTTTAACATTCTTTAATTTGGTCCACCTTGAGGTCTCAAATAGTTTTGGTCTTAGTTTATCTTCTACATTTCTAGGTTGTTGTCACCAAATCATTTATGTATTTTTTTTATGGTTTTCACCTATATGTTGTGTTGTGTGTACATGTGACATTTTCTTAACAAATGGTTCGAAAATCTTGAGCAACTCACCCATCTTTGTGTTCAACTTGTTGTGTAGGTCACGTAATCTGATTTTTTTTTTTTTTAATCATATTAACAAACTAATCAAGTTTGGCTGATGTGTTGCATGCAAATATATATTCTCATATGATGCATCAAATGCATGTTGATCATATCGAACTGAATAAAAGAGGAAATGTACAAAAGCATACTTATTAAGACCGTGGGCAAAACAAGGGGCGATCCACTGTTCTTCTTATCTAATATTCTTTTTCTTTTTTGACATTATTTGTTCATTTATTATCCAAATGATTGTTTTGTTATTTTCTAACAAGAGTAATTAAAACTGAAAACTCAGCCGTTGTATAAGAAAGCTCCATGTTTTTCTTAAAAAATTTATAATTACAAAAGATTAAATATATTGATTAAATTATATGTCGGACATGGTTTTGATTTTTGAATCTCTAATTGAATAATTTCTAAATGAAGTATTTATTTAAATATATAACATGAGTAGTTTAAGCCTTTAAGGAATGAGAGCATACAAAATAGAATAAGTTCTTCTCTAGGACGAGAAGTTTGATTTAAGAAAAAGAAAACTAATGATTTAGGGCTAATTACATATATATGATATAGCCACCCAAGATTCATCGTACAAATTCGTGTATATATAGATTAATAATAATGTGCTGGAACACAGATACATTGGAGTTAAGTTGCTGTTTTGATTTTGTTTTTAGAAAAGTGGTTTAATGATTAACTGACATATCTTATTCCATGGATGAAGTATATTGTAAGAAGAGAAAGATTTCTAAATTTATTAATTTTCAATAATATTAGCAAAATGATCGTTTGATATACATACTTCATGTCCATTTAAAAATTAGGTTCAAGTTGCTTTCAAATCACAATCTCTCCTAGTTTATTGGCTCATAAAACACATATTCCAACTATAATTGTTTTTTTTTTTTTTTGGTAAGATCCAACTATATAATTGTTCATTACGAGTCTAGAGCATCTTATATATAATTATACAAAACCCATTAGTGTTAATAGAAAAAATTTAGACAAACAAATATACAGGTCTTGGAACACAGTAAAACCAACCAATATAATTATTTTTCAATTTTCTGGTAAATATTGGTGACTATAATTAATTTCAATGGAATCAGCTAATGAGAAAAATAGAAAGAAAGTGGTGGCACATCACTTGATTTTAATTTGACATATATATCTTATTCCTTGTATTGTCAACGTTTAATTTAGTCTTAAATAGACAATTTTCGAAATTCTTGATTGTTTAAAAAAATAATTGTCCCTTTTATTCTAGTTACATCTCACCTATTACATATATACATAATTTAATTTCATTTATAAACTTTTGCCTTGGTTTTCGTATTTATAACAGGTAAGAAAATACGGAGAAGAAATTGATAAAAAGAAGAAAGGTAACTTATATAAATTGTTAAAGTGCTTATAAATTAAAGTTGCTCTTAATCTACTTGTTTTCATTTTTACGAAAAGTGAATGGTTGCCTTAAATATGGAAAAAATGTTTAACTTTCAGGTAAAAAACATCTACTATTCCTTAATTATACAATTAGACTGTTTTTTGTTTTTTTTTTAAAGATAATAATAATGATTTATTTTGTTTGTATAAAGAAAAAATAGATGGATAAGACAAGAGACCACACAAAAACAAATGGCAAGAATGGGTCCCACAATAATTAGAATCTAACGCTCAAAAATGATTCCATCTTTCCATCGTCCCTCTCCCTGCGAATACGATTTACGTGTTTTGACGTTAATTTCAGTGTAATCAAAGAGTAGAAGATTCGTGACTACCTGAAATGACGATAATACCCTCCTATCATATTCTCTTCTTCATCATCTTCTTCCTGTATTTAAAAAGCACCATCATACCTCTCTTCTCTTTGTATCGTCTTCCTTGTCCGTTCCATATTACATCTTAAAAAAATCCCAGAGATTTAGTTTTCTTTAGTTTTTTTGTTTTCTTGGGAAATTAAGGTGTTAGAGAGTAATAGAGAGAGAAAAAGAAAATGTTGGGAATTTTCAGTGGAGCTATAGTATCGCCGCCGGAAGAGCTGGTGGCTGCCGGAAGCCGAACTCCCTCCCCGAAGACTACCGGAGCTACTCTAGTGAACCGTTTCGTCGATAAAAATCCCTCCGCCGTGTCTGTTCAAGTCGGAGACTTTGTTCAGCTCGCTTACAGCCATCACAACGAGAGTCCTCTCCGGCCTAGGTCTGTCTCCGACGATTTTTTTTTTCTTCTTTTTTTCCATTTCTTTTACGAAATCTAAGTTCCTAACCGTCCGATCATATCGATCCGACGGTGGTATGAGATCGTCGTCGAGTCTTTGAAATTTCGCTGACAAATTATAAAAAAGAACTAACATATTGCATATTTGCATGCATATATTTCATTTGATGAATTGCTGAGAGATGATGGAATTAGTTGTTTTGATTAATTAGATTTAATATTTGGAGATATCTTTCTTTTATAATATTTCTTAGAGATTCCGATTTGCATACATAATTGAGTTATTCTTCTAATTAAGCACTCCACTTAAACTTAGGGTGATGTTTGTTTTGTGGTGTTATCTGTTTGGACCACATACAATAATTAGAGTAAAGTCCAAATACAGATTTCTAAAAAATTTGTACTTTTAGGAAATATGCATACACAAGGTACATCATAGGTAGATTTATATAATTGCATCGATCTTTGCTTGTATGGATAATTCTGCTAGGAAAGATAAAAAAAAATAAATATTCTGACTACTTTAACTTATCCAAGTAAAAAGTTAGATCCATTGGTTCATTATAACAATATATTGAAGAAGATGCCCCAAAATATAAATTTACTAGTTGTTGTCTTTGTCGGTGACGGTGGCACAAGGACACGTCTCATTGGGGAAGTCACCAAAGAGATTCACAAGCCTCTTATGCTGCATGACTCATCAAGTCATTGCTGACTCTTCTGTATTTGCTCATGTCACTGATTAAGATTATTTTATATGTTTGTAACTAATTTTATAAGTCCTAACCAAAATACTTACAACATAACTTGAAGTCTTCAACAACCATAACAATGACTAACCACTCAATTAGACCAACATAGGGTTAATTAATCTCTACAATTTGTAGGCACGGTTTGTATTTTGGATATGACATAACATGGCCAAACTGCTAAAACAGCTTTGGTTGGTCCACCAAACCCCTACAATATAATTACACCCCACAACCATTAATAGCCTTATGAATTATGATGCACCACACTCTATCTTTAGCTTTTACCCATATCAGCACCAAAAACACAATCATAATTGTATGTCTACTTTAAGATCCGATGCTGACTCATCCATCTCTGACTATTCTCTACCTCATTTAAAACTTCAATAAATCGCAGGACTTTTTTTCTCTAGATAGTTTTTATGTTTAAACCCTTAAGTACTTGCTTGAAACTTGAGTTACGTATAGGCTTGTCTTAAGATGTTTTTTGAAATGATACAGATCATTTGGGGCTAAGGATGAGATCTTCTGCTTGTTCCAAGGCTCACTTGACAACCTAGGAAGCTTGAAACAGCAATACGGGCTTGCAAAGAACGCAAACGAGGTTCTCTTGGTCATCGAGGCTTACAAGACTCTCCGTGACAGAGCTCCTTACCCGGCCAACCATGTTGTCGCTCACCTAAGTGGCGATTTCGCCTTTGTGGTCTTTGACAAATCAACCTCCACCCTGTTTGTAGCCTCTGTAAGTTCTCTTTTTTAACTCTCAGAAACCCTTTTTGTCTGTAAACTAGCCTAGTTAGATACAATTCGGTGGTAACAATCGGTTTTCATTTGCTGCAGGACCAAGTTGGTAAGGTTCCATTGTATTGGGGAATCACAGCTGATGGGTACGTGGCATTTGCTGATGATATTGAGTTGCTAAAAGGTGCTTGTGGCAAGTCTCTTGCTTCTTTCCCTCAAGGTTCGTTTTTCACTCTTTAAGTTCAAGATTTTGGGGGGCATTGCAAGGTCATGAGTTGAAGCAATTTCGATATTTAATGGTTGTGCATGCGTGCCTTGCAGGCTGTTATTACTCGACGGCGTTAGGTGGACTTAGGAGCTTTGAGAACCCTAAGAACAAGATCACTGCCATTCCTGCTAAGGAGGAAGAAATTTGGGGAGCCACCTTCAAGGTGATTGATTCCTCTAAAACAAATCAGATTTATTATTGTTTATTTTTCAGCAACAACAAAACAGGTTCATAACACAAACTTTGGTGATGGAACAGGTGGAAGGAGCAACAGTTCTTGCAGATTGAGAGTGAACGTGAGTAAAAAGAAAAAACAAGTTCCATGTCTCGTAAATCTCGAACTGTAACAGCAAAAAAAAAAAATAATGACGTAGGAAAAAACAAAAAGCTGTTCTAAGAGTTCTGTAAGCTATCAATGGTTGGTGTTGATGTGTGTAGTAGCGTTGTATCCTGTCTTATGCTCCTTTGTACAGTCCGTGTCTATCTTCTGCTGTTTTTAGTGTCTTCTACCTAATAAGTTATGTCTCTGAAACCTTTCTTGATCCTTTTGTCTGTGTTCATTAACTGTTTCTCTAGTAAAAATCTTACAATTCTCAATTTCTTTACATGGATCTGTAAGAAGTAATATTGACACTGGCAAAGAAAGGGGTTGGAGCATCGAGTCATAATCTTTTATTTCGTAATCACAGCATTCGGGTATTATTATACAGAAACAACAGTGGTGAGGAAACTAGACACGAGAATCAAAACAGGAACAGCTTCTGAAGCTTCACGTAGACAGTACGAAGATGTAGTAGTAGAAGCCAAGACAACTCTAGTTCATGTGTTGTGTTCTGATTAAGATGCAGGACAGATATCCTCCAAACTGTCGGAAAATAAAACAGATAAACATAATGATCGAGACAAAAGCATTTTTGTGAATTCTCTGATGTGGCAGTTTCAGTAAGATAGAAATTCATACCTCTCCCCCAAACATTCAATAATGTCGCTTGTTAGAGTTGATCTCTTATGTTTTGTAAAAGCCAGAGATGCGGCTTTTCTCAGCAGGCCAGATGCAGCTATGCATCCCAAGATGGCTGGATTCTCTGAGGGACTGAAATGCTTTGGTTTTAGAAACGCTTTGTTCAACATTGATCAATGATTGAACAAGAAAATAATTTAGAAAACTTCGTACAGAGCAAATAGGTATCTTACCTTTCAGGACCTGATTTAAGCTGTTGTGCCCATGACAAAAACACTGCAACACTAGATGAAACCAAATCCATGTAGGTGACTATTAGTGGCTACAAAAGTTCACTGTTGACCCAAGCAATCTAATGTACTGGATAAAAGATTTGTGTACTCACCCCCCAGAGAGTATATCGCCTTGTCCACCGCAGCGCCTTGGCGAACCATATATGCTCACTGATTTTACTGTATAAAATAGACATAATCACACCTGGCGTTCTCAACGTTCTCTAACTGAAAGAGAAAAAAGATATGAAAATTTTTCTCAACCTGTCTTCCCATTGCTTATAAGATCAGATTTCCCTTTCCTTAGAATCGTCACGCCACCAATCCTAAGTGACAAAGGCGTCAAAATTATTATCATCAAACACCAAAATGAGAGCCTTGGGGATATGTGGAGATACTCTAGATGATTTGTGGAGACTTTAAGATTCTAACTCTTTCTTTCTGGATATGTGAAGTGAGTTTTGTACTTACTGTTTGGCCAGAGAACGTAGCTGATCTTCAGCATTCTGTTCATCTACTTCACAATTAAGCACTTTTTGAACTAGACGTTTATACTCGTTCACATTTGGGGTTAAGACAGCCAGCGGATAGCTGTTGACAAGATCAATGGAATTTGTTACAAGAAACAGCCCGTCCTGCAGAATCAGCATCAAACAATCCAAAAGATTTGGGGATAAGAAGACAGCCAATTGATCCAATTTTTACACTTTATATCACTGCTTACCCCATCTACAACAAAAGGAACATTGGATTTTCTGGCAAGAAGCATGATTTTACTCACACATTCCTGAAAAATACAAAGTCAAAACTAGTAAGTCCATCGCCAAAGCATTGACAAATCAAATTCTGTAATGTGATAAAGCGGTGGCAGAGGAATCTGTACCAGGAGAAATGGATCCCTTCCCAAACCAGGACCAATCACAAGACAATCAAATCTTTCCATCCATTTATTGACTTCCCCGAGTACTTTCTCTTGAACTGTTCTTTGATCTTCCTCACTGAGTTGACTACATCCAGAATACAAAATATAAAGATTACGAAGATGGAGCTTGTACGAACAGCTACCGAATGAAATTCACACAGTAGAAGTAGCCTACACCGTTGGCAGGAGAATTCACCTCATGCTGTACGATTCCTCAAGAACAGGGTGAACTATAAGCTCAGGACTATAGCTCTTTATAACAGGAGCTGCGTCTTTCGTGCAGAAGACATGAGACAAATCAGCACCCTACAATTATGGACAAGAACGAAACCAGTCCTTCACTATTGTGTACGGAGTAACTTAAACCAAAGCTGAATAGAAAAGAAGCTGCGATGGCTAATAGAACGAAACTACTGACAATTTTTAAAGCTGAAATGGCAGCAAAGTATGGAGCTCCTGTGTATTCACGACAGCCTCCAATCACAGCTATCTTCCCTGACACTCATCAAATTTTCAAAACATTAAAGGAACCTAAAAGACTCAAACTTTGAATCCTTACAGTTTCGAATTTGGTTAATCGCAGATCACACACAATTGAATACCCCAAACACATAACCCAATAACAATTAAGTAGAGACAAATGAGAGTACTAACCAGCTTGGCCTTTGTGTCGTTTGGGATCAAGCGATGGCGTCACGGTTCTAAGGACACTCTCAGCGTCGGCCTCGGATGTGGAACTCATTGCTCTGATGAGCTTGGGGCGATGGATTGGTGACCCACAAAGCGCTCGTACCAAAAACTGTTGCCTTCTGAGCGCACTTGAAGAAGAAGAAGACGGTAAGTGCGAAGTCGTCAATCGTCCCAAACCAATGACACCATGTTTCACCAACATTTAGATTCTCGTTGATTCTACAGAACCCACCGCTTCCGATACAGCACTCAGAAACGAACCCTCTGTTTGGCACGGAGGGTCTTATATAATTTTATAGAGAAGGGAAAGAACAAAAAAAAGCAGACCTTTTTCAGAATCGGAGGTTTAGAGAGAGGGAAGAAGATGAAGCGGACGGTGATGGACAACGCGATTCGATCATCGGTGGTGGTGTTGGGATCACTGGCCTTTGGTTACTTGTCACTGGAACTTGGATACAAGCCTTTCCTTGAAAAGGCTGAAGAATACGAAAGATCTCTTCAGTCTTCTCAACAACATGTACAACAAGGTTTTGTATGCTCTCCCTCTCAATCACTCTGCTTCAGTTTCGTTTCAAAAGAGAGAGATGTATGCTGTGAATGATTGATTGGTTAGTTGATGATCCATTAGAATTTGCAAGTTATCAATGTTGGCTTGAACTATCTCATGATGCGTTAGATTAGAGACTTGTGAAAATCCCAATCCCAATCTGGATTTTGGTATTTCAAAATCAGTTATTGTTCTGATTCAAGGGAATAATTTCCAATATCTAATCTTAGTTTTTGAGAATTGAGATTAATTTCAAAAGAAAGTTTTATTAGCTCTCTTGGAAAACTTTTTCTCCTTCAGTTTGTTTCCAAATAGCGAGTCTCGTCATCATGTTTTTAGTCATTGACTCTTAAATGGACTCCATGGTCTATTGGAAGCTCTGAAGTTCACTATGTTTTTCTTACTCTTTGATATTGTAGATGAACAAGAAGAAGAAGCTAGGTGGGACAATAGCAATATAGAGGGATGGGAGGAGAAAAGGTAGTCGCTTTATTGATGTCAATGACAGAGACAGACCTATGATTCTGTAAGGAACAACCTTGTGGCAACATGCTTCTTTGTTTTCTTAATCTCGGATCAAACCTTGAGATCATTTTGTAACTATCAACCACTTCCTCTTTTTTTATCAATCACCATGTCAGACTAGTCGAAATTGTCAAAATCTTTTGTTGAAGTTACTAGCAATTTTGAAACTGTGCTGTAAGAACCTGGCTTATCTGATGCAAACTGTGAACTCAATTACCAGATTGTGGTTCTACATGGTCCCTAAGTAGATCTGCTTTTACAACGATTGGCTCTTGCATAGACTGGCGTTTGCAAATCACAAACGCAGACCAGTGAAACTGCTCTCTCAATCAAAAGTTCATTGGCTGAACTTGTAGCTGGAAGTAATAAAGTAAACGAGATAATTACTAGATCCTTTCTCACATACTGCTACAGTGCTACTACGTCTTTAGAGTTGGACCAAATCATTAAAAATCATTAGTTAAACAAATAAATGGTAATCTGATCTTGGCCGGTACGCAACCTCTTCTCGGTTATCACTCTCTGACTTGCATTGAATCTTGTCCCTAGACAAAATAACCATGTGATGTGTTCATCCTACAAATCTCCGGCAAGGACGGCTTCGAGTCGGAGCTTCGTGCTTCGTTAATCTAAAATTTACTCTTCTTTAATCATATCACAAGATTCCCATCTGTTTCCCAAATTCTATTTTATTCAGTCTACCAAACCATTAGTATAACCCAAATCACATATCTGGACTAAAACAAAACGCTAATTTCGGTGAATGATATCAAAACGCATTAACCGCTTTAATTGCGCACTAAAAAGTAAAAGCGACGCCGTCTTAAGCCCCACCACGATCACTACTTAAGCCACGCGCCATGATCGCGCGTATGCCATCTTTTGGATCTACGGGACCCCGCCAGTTAAAAGGACCCACGATTCACATTTCACACAACACACTCTCCAAGTCTCTCTCCCTTTTACGAAACAAGACGGTCAAGAAATAAAGTTGAGACTTGTTTATAGATTTGAAAACCGAGCTAATTACACACCTTTGGATTCCAAGCAGAGCTGCTTCTTTCAGCTTACACTCTTTGTCTTGTTACTCATTTCATTTCGTTTTGATATCTTTTAGAGAGCCAGAAGAAGAAGTGTAGAAAAAGAAGAATCTACTGAGAGAATAAGAAAAGTCTTGAGCTTTTGCAGTTTCTTAATCAGATGTCGAAGAACCATTCATCTGTGGAAGAGGATGAAGCCATGCCGCCAATATCGGAAGTAGTAAAGAGATTCAAGCGTTTAAGGGTCGTGTTCGAGCCATCTCTAGGAGTCTTGGGTTTCTTCTTGGTGGGTTTGTGTTTAGTCTTCAGCTTCTTCTACCTCGATTACAGAACCGTGGCTAATACTAAAAGCCGTGACTTTTCGGATCAATCGGAGAGATTCCTTTGGCTCAAGGAGCTCGATGGGTTTGTAGAGAACAACACCAAAGTTGGGTTTCTTGAAGAGAGTGGGAATGCTTGTAATGTGTTCGATGGGAAATGGGTTTGGGATGAATCGTATCCGTTGTATCAGTCCAAAGATTGCACCTTTCTTGACGATGGATTCAGATGCACTGAGTTTGGCAGACCTGATTTGTTCTATACTAAGTGGAGATGGCAACCTAATCATTGTGATTTGCCCAGGTAAATGTTTCTTTTTCCTTTCAAGAATATGTGGGAAAGTGAGGGGACTAAACAAAACGGTGCTTTTTTGTTTGATGTTCTTTACTGTTTCTGCATTTTTCTCGGTAGCCGAAAGAGTTTGCTACAGATTCTCAAGTCGCTTTCAGTATTTTTTGGTGTTTTGTTGTCATATCTGAATTTCTTGTCCTGCGTGTTCATTGTGATGTCATCGAAGATTTGTATTATATGAACCCGTGAGACACATGAGCATGGATCCAAGGAACTTGTATAGAACTTAGTTTTGCCTTAAGAGATTGTGTGGGATTAGAAATGTTATGTTTAGGATTAGTAAATGTTTCTTTGCGGTTACTTAAGCTAACTCATTTTGTTAAAAAATGGATCAGATTTGATGCGAAGCTGATGCTGGAGAAGCTAAGAAACAAGCGGCTAGTGTTTGTAGGAGACTCAATCGGAAGAAACCAATGGGAGTCTCTACTTTGTATGCTAGCTTCTGCAATCAGGAACAAGAACTTGGTTTACGAAGTGAACAATAGACCCATCACAAAGCACATGGGCTTCTTTGTGTTCAGGTTTCATGACTACAATTGCACTGTTGAATACTATAGAGCACCGTTTTTGGTTCTCCAAAGCCGTTCACCTAAAGGATCACCAGAAAAGGTTAAGACAACTCTTAAACTGGAGACTATGGATTGGACTGCTGACAAGTGGAGAGACGCTGATATTTTAGTGTTTAACACGGGTCATTGGTGGAACTATGAGAAAACTATTCGCGGGTTAGCTTCTTTCTTCTTGTTAACATTCTCACAACTGATCAGATTTGACTTTTTCCCTGACTGTATTTGGATTTGTGACTGCGCAGAGGTTGTTACTTCCAAGTAGGAGAAAAAGTGAAAATGAGAATGAAGATAGAGCACGCACATAAACGAGCAGTGAAGACTGTTGTGAAATGGATACAAGAAGAGGTTAATCCAAACAAGACACAGGTCTTCTTTCGCTCATTTGCCCCTGTGCATTTCAGGTTTGTCACGCATATTTACAAAACAAGTACAAAACAAGAATCTTGGATCAATCTCAAACTTTCATTTAATTGCTGCATTTCTTTATTCAGGGGAGGAGATTGGAGAACAGGGGGAACATGTCATATGGAGACACTGCCTGATTTTGGAGCCACTCTGGTCCCATCAGAGACATGGGAACATATGAAGCTCCTTCAAGATGTCTTGTCATCATCTCTTTACAACTCGAAAAGATCAGAGACAGTTAAGCTAAAAGTGTTGAACATAACAGCCATGGCTGCTCAAAGAAACGATGGCCATCCATCACTGTTCTACTTGGGGTCAGGTGGTCCTGCGCCGGTCCACAGGCAAGACTGCAGCCATTGGTGTCTTCCCGGAGTTCCTGATTCATGGAATGAGCTTCTTTATGCATATATTCTTAAGCACGAAGGCTATAAAAGATCAAACAGTGGCGATACAGACAACTTTACATAACATCTTTGGTAAGCAGCTTGTTCCTGCTCACTAGAAGAGGCTGAGCTCAAGGTTTTAAACGGCTCAGATTTTGATTGGGTGATTAGGTTGAATGGGTGGGGAATATCAAAAATGTAATTACTACTTAGGTTAAGCATCTTTGGTTGTAAAGATAAATCTCATATTATTCTATACAATGATTTTTGGACTATTTTTTTCTCTCCAAGAAGTGATATTGTATACAAAGCATATAGAATTGGTAATAAATAGAATCATCAAATGTAAGATCGGAAGGTAAAATCTTCAAATCAATCTGTTGGACTCAACGTGAAAATATGGCACTGTGGTGATGATGTTGGTGATGGTGATGATGATGATGGTGATGGTGATGATGATGATGTTGTTTGACCGGTTCGCCCTTTTCAACGTTAACTAGTTTCGTCTCCATCTCATCGTGATCGGTGCAACCGGCGAGGACGACACAAATTGCCAGAAGCGCAACCACACAACCTATGCTTGTAAGAACAATAAAAATAGTTTCCATTACTATGATAATGTTTCTCTGTGTTTTTGTTTTTGGCGTCTAAAGAGAGAGTAGGGTTTATAAACAAACGCTTCGACATATAGGTTAATGGGAATCCGAGTTTTTATTACCATTTTTGGAGAGTAATTAATTTGGAAATTTGTTTAACTAATATAAAAACAAATCTTTAAATTGGTCAAAATAAAATAATTTAAGAACAGTAAGATATATAATTAGGAGATTATGTGATTAGTTGGCACTTCTGATACTGGAGAGATGCAAAGGAGACAAAGAAGGTGAGATGAAGGAATCGAACTCTAGGGATATAGTACATCATTTTTCACCACTACACTATAGACCAAATTTTATGCATATCTTAACACATTGGTTTGACCTTTCACACAGTCAAAAGACATGTGACCGTCACATGACTAAAACTTAATCGTAACTATATTTTTAATCATAACCGAACCCTTTCTCGACCGTAACCGTATAAAAAAGATACAACTTGTAACCATACAAATTAATCAATTACATTTATTAACGGTAACCATTATTAACCGTAACCATATTAAAACAATCGGTTAATCGTACTGTTAAATGCATAATTAGTCGTAGGATTAAATTTTTGTAAAATAAATTATTTCATTGAAATAGTGTTTCAAATGGCTTAATGTGTTAACTAGTAAATCTAGTCTGCTCTATTACTCATTTAGGTTAATTAAATAAATAAACAATGTTTTTATCAGATTATTTGTAGATTCCTAACTATTAATTTAATTATGTGTAGGTTTGTTTGATTAAACAAAACTCATTTATTTAACTAATTTACTATAAATATTTGAACTATATAATTAAATATATTTCATATTGTAAATAAATATCATTTGAATATATCATCATTAAAAACTATTATAAAAGTAAACAATATAAAATTTCAACTATGATGTAAACTATATCATAATCATCAAATAAGCGCAACCGTATTGAAACATTGTGTGTGCCTCGAGTGACATGTTGATTACGGATCGTTACTTGATCTCCTTACTCGATCCTTCACTCGATCAATATGGTCGAATGACGTGCATGTTTTTCTTCATTCTTCCTTGTCCCTTCATCGTCTTACTCGATAGTGAATCTCGAATGACATTCTTCATTCTCTCCGTTTTGGTTGGTCACTCGATTTACTAACTTGGTAGTGTCGGTCGAGTGATATGCATGATTTTGTTTTAGCTCACAAATTCTTTATATAACTGAAAGAAACTCTAGTATGCATAATGTATGCAAGACATATGGATGTATGCAAAACATGCACAATATCATAAAAATAATATAAATTAATGAATGAACGAAGTTAAATAAATGATAAATGTATGTTTAAAAATGGAAAATATAAATATAAAAAAGCAATATGAAGTGATTGGTAATGCCACACATTATGCACAAGTTTATATAATCCACTAAATACAATCCTAACTGAAAAGAGATCGAAAGTTTAAAGCTAACTGGTGATTCCACTACAAACAACAACATCCTCGTTAAGGTTTGTCTGTATCATTGGGTTACATGTTACTATGTTTAGGCCTAACCGGATAGTGTAAATTTTATGGAAAACGTGTTTCCATATATAATAGATTCGAGTTGATGACAAAATATATATATATATATATATACAATATAATAGATTCGAGCGCACGCACGCACACCGTCTATTAGTTACATCTTTATAATTCTTGGTGGTAAACTATAAAAAGCCTTGGAGTTTACCAAAAAATACTATAAAAGCCTTGGAAAACTTTGTGAGGTGTCATATTTTCTAAATTTTTATCTAAATTATATAAAACTTAATATTTTACGAAAAAGATATCTCATTATCCTTAAGCTGCTCTTCTCGGTAATATTTTACGAAAAATATATCTCATTTTCCTTAGGAACTTTTAGACAGTAATTAAGATAATTTAAATTAGAGTTTTGCTCTAAATGATAAAAAAATACCATTTTAGAACTAATTAATATAATTTAATTGGAGATTTTTGATTAAAAGTAATCAAAATCTTAGATGTATAGTCAATATAATCCAATACTAATAAGATATATTTTACTTAATCTATTACAAGGTCTTATGAAATAAACAAAACAGCTTATATAGATTTTTTTTGGTATGAGTAAAAAGGATAAAATATAGCCAATTTATCTAAATAAAACGTGATTTTTCTAACTAATCCAACCGTTCTACAATTCAGGGATCAGACTTCATATCCCAAATATTTGTTACGGTTTTATTTGTCCAATTAAGGTCAAAATCCAAATGGATGCTTGTGTGTAATCGAAGGAGTAAAAAATAAAAATCAAGTGATTGGTAAATGCCACACACTATATATGAACAAGTTTATATAACTATTGATTTCACTACCAAAACAAAAAAAAACATCCTCATTAAAGTTCGTCTGTATTATTATTGGGTTACTAAGTTTAAGCCTAACCGGGTGGTGAACACATTACGAAAACGTTTACGAAAAAATGAACACTTTACTTTTGGATTTTAGAGAGATTTTCAGATTTCTGAGACCAGAACCTAGCCTTGGAGCCAGGTTTGGTACATGTCAAATTTTTGAGTTGACTTGCGATTCTTTTAACTTACACCCTTCACTTTTTTTTCTGTGTCATTGTTCTATTTTCTGGTGTGAAATCATAGGAAAATGAAGACATACTTACTGATTGTGATCTTTGTTTTGGGTCGATGTGTCACCCATCTAGGAGTACGTGAATTTACTACGTGAAACTTTAGTATGCAGAATATATGCAGAATATATGCAAAACATATGTAAAACATATGCAAAACATATGCAAAACATATGTAAAACAAAAGATGAGTGAACGAAGATGCATAAAACAAAACATATGCAAAGATATGTAAGTATACAAAAGATGCAAAAGACACTAAGAATGATGCGATTTAATGAGTGAACGAAGATAATAAAATGAAAAAATATATTAAGACCCATATACTTTATTTTAGTGTGAAAATATACCCTAAAATGTAAATAAATATGTAATATAAAAGTAAAAAATAATTTAAATATATTAATTAAAAAGCCCCAATTTTTTTATATATTTTTTGCCCTAAGGCTGTTTTTATCGTAGAGCCGGAAATTTCAGTTTTCTTTACTTCTCTTTTTTGTGTTTTTTGTTTGTATCTACATGCATCTACGCAAATATGAATATAGTTTGATTGTAATTTTGTCTTTCTTTTTGTCCGAAGAGAGCCTTGACAGAGATGTGATTGACTATATCAACCGGCATTTAGTCACCCGCTCCTGAAAACACATACCATTCAGGTCTTTTTTATCACCTCATCTCTGTTGGAAGGTATGGACTATGGAGGTTGAAGACGAGCAACGAGCTGCCAATCAAGAAAGCTCGCTTTCATCCATGGAACATGATCTTAATCGCACTAGCGCTTTGACTACCAAACAGGTTCTTATTTTTTTTGATCAACTTTTTTTTTTGCGTTTATGATCTTCTTATGCTAATGTATCTAATTTGCTCTTCATGAAAACAGAGATCCTATGGAGTTGCGAGATGTTATTCAGCAGGCTTGACCTGTACACTATTAGTAAGTACAACTCTTTATCCATGTGAAAGTTCAATATTTTGAATCGTTTTACCCTTTAAAACTTGCTTTAGCCCACTTGAGATATATATATTTGATCTCTTACATGTTTGACAATGCCTAGAGCCACTAACACACCAACGAATTTTATAACTTATAAAGAACCAAAAACAAATTCTATCTTGATATGTATGAATGTATCATTTATGTCTTTCTTTTTCTTCTTGGCGTGGCGTCTATGAGATTATTTATTTAGGCAAAATAAATTTTGGGAGATTAGTAAGTGGGTAACAGGGTTAATGAATCCGCTGGTGGTAAAAATATCAATTAATTTGTAAAAATGATTCTAACCAATTTTGGACAAATAACTAAGACAATATACATAAATGGAAAACTGGCTAAGATAATGTTAAAAAGCTTTAAAGTAGTCAAAATTATCCACAAACAAAAATCTAGTAAGCTAGATTTGCTAAACTGGCAAAAATGTCTTTTAAATGTCCAAATTAAACCAAGGGATTAATTAATGAAGATCTAGATAAAATATGTGCTTTTTCCAAATATTATATATTTTTGGGCCGAGCCCATTATTGACCCAATAACTATAAGGGTCGGTTCAAAGAAAAGGACATGTCTCGGAGCTGTGTGGCAGTGTGTCGGCTTTTGAGTCTTCGAGCTTCTCTCCTCCGTGATCAATCTCCGTGAATCGCCATTTTCTCTCTCTCTCTCTCTCTCTCTCTCTCTATCTCTTCGGTTTCAATGGATGCTGTCGATGTTAGTAAGTCTAGAGACCTCGACAAGCTTCTTCTCCGTCATGGGAATCTAGTTGACCCCGGCTTCTCTCCCGGACCCGACGTAAACGCCTTTTTCTCAATCGCTTCATCAGTTGTTCTGTAATTTTGTTTTTTCAATCGATTTTGTGCGTTATCTGAGCTTTTTTTTTTGTTGGTATACAGCTGAGGGATGACATAAGGGAATATGTGAAAATCTTGGTAGTTGGTGCGGGTGGATTGGGTTGTGAGCTGCTCAAGGACTTGGCTCTTTCGGGTTTTCGTAATCTCGATGTGATTGATATGGACCGTATCGAGGTTACTAATCTCAATCGTCAGTTTCTGTTCAGGCAATTTCTCCTTCTTTGTCTCTTTTGGATTACCACTAGAAACCCTCACAATTGAAATTTGCTTGACCATATGTTCCTTGTGTCTGGTGTTCTCAGTAAGATTTGTGAACTTGTTAGCTTTGTTTCTCTGGGGAATTGATAGTTGCACGATTGTTTGGTTGATAATGTTGGTGTCTTGTAATAGACTTGAAGACGTGGGAAAGCCTAAGGCAGAGGTGGCAGCAAAGCGTGTCATGGAGAGAGTGAGCGGGGTGGAGATTGTGCCGCATTTTTCACGTATAGAAGATAAGGAGATTGAGTTTTATAACGATTTTAATATCATTGCCCTCGGTCTTGATTCAATCGAAGCTCGGAAATATATCAACGGGGTAGCTTGTGGGTTTCTTGGTATGGAAAGTCTTAAACGTGAAACAGTCAAACCAGACAATTCTTTTTATCTCTCGGCTTTTTAAGTTCTCTATCTGTTCATTTGCTTGTGAAATGCAGAGTATAATGATGATGATACTCCGAAAAGTCAAACAATCAAGCCGATGGTAGATGGGGGAACTGAAGGTTTCAAGGGTCATGCTAGAGTTATAATGCCTGGAGTTACACCCTGTTTTGAGTGCACAATTTGGCTTTTCCCACCTCAAGTGAAGTTTCCTCTCTGCACTCTTGCAGAAACCCCTAGGAATGCAGCTCATTGCATTGAATATGCTCATCTAATTAAGTGGGATGAGGTATGTTTCTATTGTGTAGCTCTCTGAAAGAGACTCTTCTTTCCATGCGAGTATGTATTTGGTTTAGTCATGGTGTAGTTGATTCTTCCTGTAGGTTCATAAAGGAAAATCCTTTGACCCTGATGTGCCAGAACATATGCAGTGGGTCTATGATGAGGTTGGTCATTCTTTTGCTTAGTTATGTTTTGGGTTTTAATTTGAAGGGATAATCTCAAGTTTTCCATTCTCTTCACAGGCTATCAGGAGAGCTGAGCTTTTTGGAATTCCGGGTGTCACATACTCTCTCACTCAAGTATGTAACCATTCTCATTTTTTTATGTCTCTTCACTTTCTAAAATCTTCCAGTTATGAACTAAAATATGTAACTGTTTTACCATACTTAAATCCATATGCTATTAGAATTCATGAAGAACTTATGAGAGGATTATTGTTTTATCGTATAGGGTGTGGTTAAAAACATAATACCGGCGATTGCTTCCACCAACGCAATTATATCATCAGCTTGTGCGCTTGAAACCTTGAAGATTGTGTCTGGATGCAGCAAAACACTTACAAATTATCTGGCGTACGGTTTATTTCTTCCTTTCTGCCTTACTTGCTAATGTTCAGAGTACATCTTTTCTACTTCAAGTTAAACATAGGAATTTGCAAAGAATTGAATTTTATCCTCAAGCAATTTTTTCATTTTCACAAGGTATAACGGCGGAGAGGGTCTTTACACTAAAGTGACAGATTTCCCGAGGGTCAATGACTGTCTTGTATGTGGTCCGGGCATTCTTATTGAGCTGGACACCTCAGTCACTTTATCAAAGGTCCGTCCCCTCGCTTTATCATCTCATCTTCTTTGTAATACCGATTATTCTTGATTTTCTTACCCATTTACTGCGTAATTCATGCTAAATTATTTCTCTTCTGCTATCTCCCATTGATGCATTTACTTTCACCCCTGCGTAGATGCTTGGATGATATTTTCTTTAGTCTTTTCGCCTTTTGCAGGATTTTCTGACCTTTTAGCTACGTATATCTTAACTTACTTGTTTTAAAGAATGCGGGTTGTTTGTCCATTTAAATGCGGTGTCTCAATTCTTTACTATTTCTTCATGTTTTTTACCTCCTAGTTCATTGAGATGCTTGAAGAACATCCAAAGCTTCTATTGTCCAAAGCAAGTGTTATACACGGCAACGGCAATCTCTACATGCAGGCACCTCCTGTTCTTGAAGAAATGCTCAGAGGAAACCTAAGCAAGCCGCTCTATGACCTCATGGGAAGAGTCCAGAAGGATACTATCCATGTGTCTGGGACATCTCTCCTGAACGAACAAAAACAGTCGTTCTCAACAAAGCTAAGGGTTCTTTTCAAAGGAGCTGATGGTGTTGCAGACATGGATACAGCCATTGGAGCATAAAACCCGATAGAAAAACTCTTTGATAACAGCTTAGATCCCTATTAAGAGATAATTCAGTTGACTTGTCTGGTTCGTATTTTTGGTCCTTATTTTTTGTTTGTTTGTCGTTTATATCTGTGATAGCAGAATTTTACTGCGCGATGAAAGAAAAGCTATTCCAAACAGATGGGTTTATATGATTGTTCTTAACCTCGAAGATGTGACCTTCCATGACAAGAAAAAGTTTAGAGCCTTAAAAAAAGTTGATCTTGTGTCTTGAGTGATCATGAATTCAAGATTCTTACTTGGTGTTGAATATTCGAATTTAACATTGACAGAAATGTTTGATTTTAACCAGCCGTTAAGAGTACAAACGTCACTCGCAAAGACAAGACAATAGTTTGCGTGCCCCTTGGTGCATTTCATCGCTTACACTTGTTGTATAATTTCTTTTGGTTCAAACTTATCTTTTCATTTTATCTTCATCCGTTTGTGGCTATACGTGCTTGCACCTTTCTTTTCATATGATCTTAAGAGACTTTAAGCTACTCTTTTGAAACGTAGTATGGGTGTGGAGATAAGGTTGTTTCTACGACCTCTTTCATCTTTGAAAGGTCAAGAGTTCGAAACATGCAAATTAAATTATCGAAGACTAACAAAATGAATAACCATCATATTTTTTTTTATACAATACACAATTGTGTTTTAAGTATAAAAACATAGACCATCAAGCTAAAACATAGACCAAGAAGCTTCATTTGGTAAATCGTTTTTTACGAAACTATCAAGTAGGATTGGTGTGTGACCCTACTTCACTCAAAACACTATCCCCAAACCATATCATATCAAGTAAGTTAAGATTTTCTCTCTCTTTCTCTCTCCGAAATCCAAATTGATCATTGTCTTTTCCTCAAATGCCCACCACAGACTGTCTGTCTTCGGATGTGGCTGTTCTAGGATCTTATAGCCATAACAAAGATTTCCTTAGACCCTATCAAAAGATAAGTGTGTCTTTTTTTTGCCAAATATCCTCATAAGTAATGTAAACCAACAATAAGTTAGTGTAACTAAATGAGTATTATTGATTGGTTTAGTTCTTAAAGCTATCAAAGTTTATGTTAAAGGTAATTAGAAACATAGTGGATATGGGTTGTGTTTCACAACTTGTGTATGAAGTTTGATTCTATCTTTTTTTTTTTTTAAATGTAAAACAACTGGATAACATCAATGCACAACCTCCTTCTGTCCTTCATGTTGATGTGTTTGAGTGGGGACTTAGCCAGATTAGATTTACAATGTTAAAATAATAACCTCTTTCTCTTCTTTGGACCCACTCTCCCACCCACATGCTCTTCTCTCTTTCTCTCTAAATGCCAACTCTGTCTTGCCTATTTATTTGACTCTTTCAACATTACCTCGAACTCCACTTGAAGCAAACCAAAAACATAAATAACATAAAAGACTTTTGTTTCTCTACAGGAACAACAAAGTCTTGAGACTCTTGGAAGCTAAGATACATGGCTATGGAGTTAGAGCTTGATGATGATGTCTTCTTTGCAGACATAAGCAAACAGATCTCTCTTCTCATCATGGATGAAGATGAACAGCTAAACTCTGTTTCTCTTTCCTCCTCCTCCCCATCTCTCTCATTTCAGGTATGTTATTCTGGTCCACACAAATTTATGCTTCTCTCTCTATATATGCTTCTCTCTCCCTCTCTAACTGTGTTTCTTGAATTTTTGTGTGGGAACAGGGTATGTTCAGAGGAGGCTACCAAACGGCTGCTCCATATATGTACCATCAAGAACAGAGCAAAGGGACTGGTGTGTTCATCCCTAAATCTTCTCAGCCAAGAAGAAGACCTCATCATCATCAGAAGCAAGGTAGGTATAGTTCCTTCAACGCCAAGCAACAACACTCTCTTCAACAAAACAGACAAGAGTATCAGCAGCAGAATCAGGAGAACTCAAGAAGTACTCTCACCACTCACAACAACAAGAGCAACATGAACAATAGTGTCCATGCTTCTATCCCAAGAAGAGCCTACAGAGATGCATCATCTATCTACACTTGATTAATTCTAAAAGATTCATGGTTCAGTGTGATCAATATTCTTATAGTTAGATGCATAAGATTTATTTGTTTGTAAATCAGGGAATAATAAAAAGGGGGTTTGTATAAGGAAGGTCTTGGAGATATATATGTTCCAAGTTCGTTCTTGGTTTTTTTTTTGTTTTAATCACATATGTATGATATGTAACTCTTTTCTTGTCATCATTTTAGAGATTGACTGACTTATATTCTCCAATTGTAATCTTCTTCTTTTTTAAGGATGGGATTAAAATTTTTAAAGAATGTGATTACAACACAAGATTGATATAGAGAGAGGAATGTGTAAAGACAAGCACCATGTGGGAATGAGCAAATGTTCCATGTCTCTCTCCAATCAATCAATATCTCTTAAGGGACATCACAGACGAGTTTGCCACACTGTCTGAATCATATATATAAAAAAGAAAGAGAAAGAGAGAAGAAAGTCAGATCTACTACGAGGTCCAAAAGATTGTCACAAGCTCACACACCTTGTGTGTTGTGTCCCTCCCTGCTGCCACTCACATGCCCATCTTTCTTTGCCATTATTAAAAGTAAAAAGGTCTCCCTCATTCTTTATTTCTATTTAGAGCAAAATTATATGATGATGAAGCTTTCCATAAAAACCACTTGTTTTTTTTCACAATATATATATCACATGAATCCCTTTCTTCTTAAATAAATCCAAAGAAAAACAAAACAAAAAATTACAAATACATAAAAAAATTTATATAGTTAGCTCACTCATAGACAGTGTGATAAACATAGTTTATGTAAAAGATTAATCAAACTTCTAACGCAAGATCAATAAGTTACTTTATATACATCAACTAACAAACACATGAGAGCACCAACGTGAGTTTTCTTTCTTTACAATTACAACGAAATAACTAGTCTACATACTCAAACTTGAGAGAAATATAGTTAAAAATGAATAAAATTGATTTAAGGATGGTATTAAAAATATATTTTTTTATTAGATTTCCTAAGATACATGTAATTTAACAACAACCAACCCTTTGGGACAAAAAAAAATTAGAAAAAATACAAATAGTATCGATTGAAGATTCCTTTACAACATTTTTGTTGTTTATTGCAATATTCATTTTTTAATTCATAATTTAAGTTATAGTTTGGCGGTGGAAATAATACAAGTAAATTTATTTTCGTTACGTAACAGTGTAATACAGAAATATTAAAATATTTCGGTCATAATTGAGAGTTTTTAATTTTATTTAAAACACACATTAGTTAATTTTAATTTGTTTGTTATGTGATTCCTAATCATCTTTCGATGAGTAATAATAGTGTGAAGTGAAGAGTTTGGTCAATGGCGGCAATTTCCACTCTCTTCCTCTTCTTCATCATCTTCCTCGTCTCTCTTCTCATCATCTTAGCTTTGATCGTTCGCCCAAGATCCGTCAAGATCCCTATCAAATCTCGCCATGTCTTCATCACCGGTGGATCAAGCGGCATCGGTCTCGCTCTCGCTCACCGCGCCGTCGCCGAGGGAGCTCGAGTCTCTATCCTCGCCCGCTCAACCGAAAAGCTCGACGAGGCCAGACGATCCATCCAGCTAGCCACCTGCGTCGGGGTCGCCACATTCTCTGCCGACGTTCGCGATTTCGACGCCGTTTCCAAGGCGGTTGATGAATCGGGGCCGATCGATGTGTTAATTGTTAACCAAGGTGTGTTTATTGGTAAGGAGCTTGAGAAACAGAGTCACGAGGAGGTTAAGTTCATGATTGATGTCAATCTGGTTGGGAGCTTCAATGTGATTATGGCGGCTTTGCCTGCCATGAAAGCTAGGGAAGGTCGTGGTCCTGCTTCCATTTCTCTCGTTTCCTCTCAAGCCGGCCAGGTTCGCCTCTCTACTGTCGATTCATAGTCTCCTAGTTAGATGAAGGCATTTAGAGATTTATCCATCAGTTTCAGATCACTAGAGAACGTTTTAACTAGCACTCTTGATTAGTCATGTGAAATCCTTTTCATAGTTTTTGCTATCAAGGCAAGTTTCTACTGATTCTGGTCATTTCAAGAATGGAAAAGATAGTTTGCTTTAGCTAGCTTGAGAATTGTGCGTTTAAGTTAGACTCGATGCTCTAGTCAGGATTGTTCAGCTTTTGTTCCAAGAATTTGTAGTAACAGTTTGGTGATTGTTGAATTGAATTTTTGAAAAACGCAAGCACTTGTGGAAGTTGAGAGATGCATTTTCTCGGATAAAATTTGTGATGTATCATGTTTTTCACCTTTTCAGGCAGGTATCTACGGTTACACTGCATATTCAGCGAGCAAGTTTGGGCTACAGGGTTTAGCGCAAGCATTGCAGCAAGAAGTTATTTCTGATGACATTCATGTGACTCTCTTGTTTCCTCCTGACACAGATACACCCGGGTATGAAGAGGGTAAGACAGTCCAGAATCTTTTAACTTTTTAAGGATCATTTAGACATCATGGACATGTAGAGTTTAATAAAGAAGTATACCGCATGAAAACTTAAGCTAGGGTCATGGATTGTCATTCAGGCGTCTCATTATACTGATAGATGACTCAGTTGACTTCCAGATTAGTTGCAGTTCCAATTTAGTAAAAAAAATCACTAAGAGTTGTAGACATACTACATAACTGAGTATATATGGTCCTGCGTTACAACAGACATTAGTATCTACTGTGTTACTGTAATCTTGTAGTCTTGTACCATCTGGTGAAAGCTAACAAGAATACTTTTTCATCTACACGGAGCTACTGTCTGTGAGAAACTGACAAAATGTTGCATTAGTTACCAGATAGCATACCGTGATACTTGAAAAAATAGGTAATTTTCTGCTTAGATTTTGAATCTGTGAAATTATTTAGAAAGGAATGCATTTATTCTGTAAGCATTGACAAACTTTAAGAAAATGCTCTTTGTTTTTCTCCTTACAAGGTTATATTCTTGCTCTTCTTTGTCCGATCTTGTATCTTGGTAACTATATATCATGTGAAACTACTAGAATGAACAATTGATCACTGCTATGAGTTATTTGGTTCATATAAAAATTCACATTCATTTTGAAAGATTATTTGCTTTTTCTTGTTTTGGCTCTCTCAGAACAGAAGAAGAGACCGGAGCTTACTTCCATCATAGCGGCATCTTCTGGTTCAATGAAAACAAAGGAAGTGGCAAAGATATGTCTTGATGGTATCAAAGCAGGCAAATTCACAGTGACATGCCATTATATTGGCTTCTTACTATCTATTGCAAGCGCCGGCATGTCCCCTCAGGGATCGTTTTGGGTTGCGTTCATTGAAGTTATGTTCGGTGGTCTAACTAGACTCGTTAGCTTGGTTGTCCAATCGCAATGGTACAAAACCATAGAAAAGTGGAGCACAACAAAAAAAGGAATAAGGAGTTAGCTTAGAGCCATGAAAAATGTAAATGAGTCAGACTTTTGTACAGTGAACAGGTTCATGTTTTGTAGTTACTAGTTCCACTTTGACTTCTGTGTTTGCAATTGAAAACCAACATTAACTCTAATTGAATAACCAACGTTGACTAAAAATATTATTTTAAGATGTTCACAACCAATAGCATTTTAATTAAATTTTGTTTAAAGTAATATTATATTATTGCATTTTATTGGTAGAATATGATAATAATTTGTTACATAAGTCCAATGCTAGAAAAGAGTGAAAGCTCTTAGCATTGGGGGACTAAAATAAGAGAATGAGATTTTCTTAGTTATAGCAACAACATTGAATAGGATCTTGGGGTTTTTGGTTGACACAAGATCCCATCCGATATCCCTGTATTGTACAGTCCACGAAACATTCCCGCGATCCGTATTTGTACTCCACACACATTGTGATGCAATGATCATATGATATTTTGTTCATCTGTGCACCTACACATAAACACAGATATATATATATAAGAATAAATTATCATTGCATATGATCATTATCAGTTCTATATGTTTAGTTATTGCTTTCAAAATCGATCAATGCTAAATGCTAATTGGCATATTAACAACTGCAAAAATTAAAATATACCTGAAGCAGTAACGGTATGGTCGGATAAGGAAACTGCTAATATGACCAAGTGAAAGAAAATCACCGAAGTTTTTGCGATACCCATGATGATAGTTTTTTTTTTTTGTATAAAGTTAGTTGAAAAGATTTATGTTATTTTTAGATCATAGAGAAAGACTCCATTTATTTATATATGACTCTGGTATGGGGGAAATCTCTATTACCCTATTTATCTGATTTTGGTAAAGAACTTTTGACTCTTTTTTTTTTGGTAATAAGAACTTTTGACTTTTATCTGTATGTATTTTGACTATATATGTTGACTATTTAATAAAAACAGATATTTAATTTATGTAAATTTATTAAAGATATGTATAATAATGTACATATATGATCTATAGAACGCCTTTTTTTTTTTTTTTGTCATCCTATAAAACATCCTAAGTGGTTAAGTAAAGTTAAGATACTACCTCAGATTTCTATAAGTTTTTTTAGGATTATAAAGATTATAATTTATGATCAAAGGGTTTCTTTTTCCTCCTCAATTATATGATTTAGCTTGCAAATCAAATCAAATGTTTTGCAGTTTCTAAATGGTTTTTAGTTTTTAGTTTTTGGTTTTTGGTTTTTGGTTTTTGATTTTTTTAGTTTTTGATTTTTGGTATAGATTTTAGTATTACAAAATCTTGAATGGTAATTTGTTTAGTTTATAGATTTTAAATATAACTAGATTTTGACCCGCGGTACACCGCGGGACGATATTCTAAAATGTATTTTTTTATTAATTTTGTTTGGTATATAAGCGTGTACTACTATATTTTGATTGTTAATTATATAATTTAACCCATAGAATATTATATGATAATATTAATATATAATCGTAATTTGATCAAATTAATTAAAATAAGTCTAATATTAAAATAATGAAATGATATTGACATAATATTTTTCCTTTACATAGTATAATTTCATATTTAAAATTTTTGTGAGTTATAATATAGTGGACAACTCGTAAAAATATATATAATCATAATTATGTAAATTATAACCCGCTCCATCACATGACCCGTGATACACAATTATCAATAATACTTTAGAACATCCATTTTTTGTATCGTCTGAGTAATATACATCCGTTTAAAAAAATTCAAATTGCAACATATGCAAAGAAAAATTTATATTTTTATTATGCATAATATAAATTTAAAAGCAAATAAAATCATATAAAGATGTTGGAAAAATATCTGATTTATTAGGGAGAGATTTTAGGAAATTTTAATAAATGTAATAAATAGTGATTTCTAATTTTGCAATTTTATTATGATTTAATTACAAAATTTATCTTAAAGTTTTAATATTTAATCAAATAACAAGAGTTTAATTATGAAAATATTATAAAATAAAAGGGTAGAACACAAAAGGTACTTCAAAAATGTTAATATAGATTATTTATCAAAAAACGTTTTTAAGGTAAGGTATCTAAAATTTTAATTTTGAGTTTTTTTTGGGGGCTGAAAATTTTTTTAACCAAAATATCAAGTAAAGTTTTTGGAATCCACGAAATTTGGTTTTTGGTTTCTATGAACAAATAAGAAAAATCTCTAAAAATCTGGTTTTCCTAGCATTTAGGAAATCTACTTTGATTAAAATCATGAATGACTTACTAACTAGTTTTTGCAAAATCAAAAACCAAAAATTAGTTCAAAATCTGGAGCCATTCATGGCCTTAAGTAAGCAAATAGTAAGTTAGCTTAGATCATCAAACTATATGAACGTTTTATTATGAACCATGAAAATGTATATGAATCAGGCTTTTGTACAGTGAACAAGTTCATGTTTTGAACTACTAGTTCCACTTTGAGACATTGTGTTTGCATTTGTATAAGCAAATTAATTAGACAATGAAGTTGTAAAATAAATTGTGTATCACAAAATTAGTAATAAGCAAATTACTTTATCGGTAAACTGTAAGTAAAAGATAAAAAGAGTAAAAAATCGTTTTTATTAATCTCGTTATCCTTCGTTTCGGACTTTTCCCTTTCGAAAGTGCTCAACAATGGCGACGGCGTCACAGCTTCTCTTTGTTCCTCATCTCGGTCTCTTCCCTAAAGCCTCGCCCTTTCATCCTTCCCTCTTCGCAACACTAAACCCCAGTTTCACAACGAGAGCTCTCAAATCCTCCTCCTCCGCTTCTCGTATTAATCACCTCCAAGCTCTCGTCGACTCTTTCTCTGAAATCGAAAGCAACAGTGCCACTGAAACTACTGCTTTAACTCTACGTCAAATCTGCCAAGCTTTTGTCCCGGAGCATATTTTGCACAGGCAAGCTTCGTTTCACTGCTCTGCTTTGTTTCAGTCCTCAAAAACAAAAATCGAAAATTTGAGTTTTTTTGCTTGATTGAAAAATGGTGTAGAATGGAGGAGATTGGGTTTGTGTTTCCCACAGACATACAAAGAGAAGCTCTACCTACTTTGTTTACAGGCCGTGATTGCATCCTCCATGCTCAAGTCCTTTTTCTTTTCTCTCATCTATATTTTCAATTTATGTTTCTCTCTTTTGATTATCTGTTTTTGTTAATGTTGCTATGTTTTTTTTGGGTAATCTTAGACAGGTTCAGGCAAGACATTGACTTACCTACTACTCATATTCTCTCTTATTAACCCTCAACGATCTTCTGTGCAAGCTGTGATTGTTGTACCCACTCGAGAGCTCGGTATGCAAGTAAGTCTACTACTCATTGATTTTGAATCTTACTTTTTGACTTCATATTTTTGTGATATGCTTTGTAATTTGTTGCCTCTGTTGGGTTTAAGGTTACAAAGGTTGCTCGAATGTTGGCTGCAAAAGCGGATATTGATGTGAAAGGATGTACAGTAATGGCTCTCTTGGATGGAGGGACGCTAAGAAGGCACAAAAGCTGGCTAAAGGTTGGATTTTGATTGTTCGGTTTCTGCGTGTTTGAAGGATTTTAGTCACTTCTTCTTGTGATTAAGTTCAGAAAGTTTAATTTCTTTTCAGGCTGAGCCACCAGCAATTTTGGTTGCTACGGTAGCAAGTTTGTGTCACATGCTGGAAAAACACATCTTTAGACTTGACTCTGTGAGAGTTCTTGTTCTAGATGAGGTAAGAACTTTCTCAACTGTATGTATGTATTGTACTGTTCAGCTTATTCTCCATAAATAATAATTGAGGCTGTTCTGCATATTGAACATCATGCTCAGAACATTTTCTGACCCAGGAATATATGTAAACGGTCACTTTGCTAGGTTGATTTCTTATTCTACTCCTCAAAACAAGTTGGTTCTGTGCGGAAGCTTTTGACATCATTTTCTTCATGCGATAAACGTCAGACAGTTTTTGCCAGTGCTTCCATTCCCCAGCATAAACATTTTGTGCATGATTGTATACAGCAAAAGTGGACAAAGGTTAGCTTATGGATGTTTCTTTTACTGTGAATTATGTTCAGGCTTGGTTAATGAATCAAATGATTTGGGCTAACTGTAGATACCACCCAACTCTACCCTTGGCAATATAACAAATTATAATTTTGAATTTAGCGCCTCAAGTCAGTTGTATTTTCTCTATTTCTGCAGAGGGATGTTGTTCATGTTCATGTTAGTGCAATCAGGCCCATGCCTTTGTGCCTTCTTCACAGATTTGTTGTAAGACTTAACTAATTAGCATCCTTTCACTTCTTTTGTCATGATATTCATCTGTTAGTACATCTAACCTCTATTTTGGCAGACGTGTGAGAAGACAAACAAACATCAAGTACTGCTTGCCTTGTTAGAGTCTGATGCACCTGAATCAGCTATTATTTTTGTCGGGGAGCAGGTATTGGAGACCTCTATTTCCCTTTTAACTTCACTTAATCTAACCATTTAACAATCTTTTCCGATTCTTATTTTCAGTCTGAGAAGTCAAAAAAGGCTGGAAATGATCCATCGACAACTCTACTAATGGAATTCCTTAAAACTTCATACAATGGTCCTCTGGAGATCCTCCTCCTAGAGGGGGACATGAATTTCCATTCACGAGCAGCTTCACTAACAGTACGTGGTTTCTTTTATCTGCGGATTCTAATCCTAGATGTGTACTTTCTGTTACTAAGCTTCATGATTTGCCATAGGAAATCAGGCAAGGAGGAGGGTTTCTTCTTGTTTCTACTGATATTGCAGCAAGAGGGATTGATCTACCAGAAACAACTCATATCTTCAACTTTGATATCCCACAAACGGCTACAGATTATCTGCACAGAGCTGGAAGAGCTGGTCGAATACCCTTTTCTGACAAGAAGTGCATTGTTGCCAATCTGATCATGTCGGAGGAAAGATTTGTCTTGCAAAGATACGAAAACGAACTTATGTTCAGCTGCGAGGAACTCATGTTGTAGGTACAAAATTAATTATCCCAGTACAGAAAATTTGTCATATTTTCGTTTGTTTTCATTTTTTTGTAACCACAAATACAATTGAGTGCAGATACCATCAGTCTAATGTAACTAATTACAGTAGTTAGATTGGAAGAGTATATGAGAAGTATCATCATTATCAAAGAAATTTTATTTAGTTTTGACTTTTATGCTCTGCATTCTTACTTCTTAGTTCTCACAATTACAACTTGAAAAGTATCATATCACAACACCATCTTTAATTACTGAATTTTTCAAGATTACTGTAATGCCGGATCTGATGTAAAATCCATCGGATGACCTATCTGCTTCTTGTATTTTCTGCAAACCACCACAAAAGTGGAAATGATATTAGTAACTGAAGATGTGCGTGTCTGATGGGTCCATTTTTTCTTAAATCAAAGAAATTTTACCTCCGAGTTTGCAATGATTACATTCTTCCCGACTCTAGCATTTTTGTCTATTATGCATTCTCTGCAGGGAAAAGGAGAAGGCAGAAAAAAAAGGAAGAAAGGGATGAGGACACTTCACAAATGAGAACTATTTCTAAGGTAAACCCCATGTGAATTTCATAGTTAGTCTTACTTTATTTTTGTGTTCTCTCCTATTCCAATGGGAACTTTTCCCTCAGCAAGCTGTGATGCAACTTCTGCTTCAGTTTCGTAAAAGTCTGCCCCAAGCATCACAGTGTCCTAGAGTTTCCATACTTTTAGATGATCATACAATCTTAGAGTCTAGTCCTTTCATTCTGATTTAGAAAGGTACTTTTTTTGCCTACCTTTAACTGAACATTACTGCCTACTCTGGATCTAATTCCCACAATGCTGTGCTCAATCAAGCAGTTGGTTAAGAAGCTTCCATGAGAAATGATCGAATCAACGAGCTTCACATGTAATGAAGTAGAGAGTTAAGCCTGAATCCAAAACCAAAATGCATATAAGTAAATATCATGGCTGGTTTTACTTACCTTAGAGCTGTCTATTTTTGATGGTGGCAGGTTTCTCCTTGACGTATAGATTGGTTTCGCTGCGTCGTAGAAACTAAATGCCGGTGGCTAAAAGTTATAGATGTAGATGTACGTGATATTAATATGAGTATATATGATTATGAACAATGTCTTGGAAAATAGAGTTGTCCCTCAGAATATTTGTCCTTACATGCTCAGTGAGGGCAAGATTTGCCTCAAAGAAAGATCTTATTGTTCCTATATCTTCCCAGTAGTCTTTAAAGAGATAAGCCTGCTCAAAAGATCTTGTTATCCCTTGATATAATGGAATGAAAATGTGTGCTTTATCTGAATGTTACTGACATTCATATAGAATTCTTTAGCTGAGAAGGGTATAATCTCTGAACCAAAGTCATTTGCTGTGGGGAAACGCCATCTGATTTCAAAACAGTCGCAAGATATGATATTTGTTTTGCTTTGTTCTTAGTTTCCAGAGACAGAATGTAGAACTAAAGGTGTTACCTCAAGAGATTCAACAGTATTTCTTTCTTGAAAACATAAACACCCATTGACGCTATGTATGGTTTCTTTTCAGCTTCCTCCTTGGAAAGTCCTAATATAGTTGTGTCTACTGCCTAAGGATACCCCGAGGTTAGAACAAATCTTCAAGTTTTGTTTTGAGATGCTATTATTGCTGAGAAATTTATTCTCAAGTTTTCAACATACCATTGCTTTCAGGTCATCCCCTTTAGGTTTTTCACTGAAAGAGAGAACTCTTCCTTTGTCGTCTATCTTCATAAGACCAAAATCTGAGGCACGTCTACCATATAACACAAAAAGAGACTATAAGAAATCATGATCTTTAATTCAGCATAATAATTTGGGAAAATGTTTTATATGTACTCTTTTGCATTCACCTGTCATCTATTGGTATGCAGGAAATGCTTATATCTGCCCCACTCTGCCGATGATCCTGCAGATTTAAGTAGACATGGTTGAAGTCTCTGAGAGTAACTAACTATTGATGAAGGAAATGGTTTCAAGTAATCTTGTCTCACCTGTATAAAATCCATATAATCCATCCTATAAAGGTGATCTCCAGAAAGGATCAACACATCCTCTATGTCCTTGCTCCTTGCATCCTATGTAAAGAATTGTTGGACCGCTTGTTTTTTCATGTGAAGATAAGTTAATTATAGTCTGGTTTCTACCTCAAAAAGCCAATGGAATTGCCGAACAGCATCTGCTGTACCTTGGAACCACCTTTTACCAGATTCTCCTGGCGTTTGAGTGGCTGCAAGAACCTGAAATTTTTCAAACAATTGCCTCAGATGCCTCAAACCAGTCTGGCTCGTAATGGATGATGAAGAAAGAATATCAAACCTCGATATAGCCATCTCCAAAGCCAACCCCATTGGAGTTGTAAGCACGGGCTAAATGCCTGTTCAATGATGCTGAGTTATATTGTGTGAGTATGTAGACTTTGTTGATTCCGCTGTTGATGCAGTTGCTCATTGGTACATCTATCAACCTATAAGCTCCACCGATAGGGACCTACAATTCACGCATATTCCCGATCAGTTATACTCTGTGGCAGGAAAGTCAGCAATATTGGAAACTTTGCAGCAGAGAACTAACTGCAGGCTTGGCCCGACGTTTTGTGAGAGGAAAGAGTCGAGTTCCTGCTCCACCTCCAAGAATGATGGAAGCAACTGTCCTGGGATCCCTTTTCTCAGCCTCAAGATCTTGTGCCTGGAGGTTGTTGACACAAACAAATGCATTGCGGGGTCACTCCTGATGAGCTTGAGATTGAGAATAGAAAGCAGAAGCAAAAAGTTTGAAACTTTTTACCTGACTCTCTCCAGCTACACTATTTAGAGACATTGAAACCCTCTTAGAGAAGTTAGTAGGAGATCGAAGACGAAAATTTGGAGGCTGAGCCAAGTTGAGCTTCTTTCCCATGAGCTCACCATTGCAGAAGTTGCCAAGCTTAATGTGCCTGGTCAAGCCCGTAGAGCTGCGTAGGCAGCTCGGGGCAGACAAGGATATTCTGCAGTCAGCAGAAACCACCATTTTCTCAGGAAATACTGGCTCTTGAAAGGTTGAAGAGAGGGGAAGATAAAAGAGAAGAGAAGATAGTTGCATGAACTTGCATTTTAGTTGATTTGTTTTGGAAGGTTTTGGTCCACCCTATCTTCATCAAGTCACATACACCACCAGTTTTTTTAATTTTGTATTCAGATTTTATGACAATGCTCTTTTGTCTTGACCTGTCTTGCAATGGCATATTCTACTGAAGACTAATGCCAAAAAAAATGAAAATTGAATCTCAGAAGTCAGAATATATACTTTTCGTCTTATCACATGCCAACATATCCATATCAAGTCTTTGTATCCACCGTATCAAGTATAAGTAAATAAATGGTCATAGACGCATCATAATTATTTGTTAATTGTCTGTGTGGTGGCAGTGGTCAGTGGATGAGAACTACACCGAAGCAACGACTTTAAAAAGCAAAAAGGGACCAGAAAATTCTCATAATATAAGTGAAGATTCAACTCACCATCTCCAGAAATCAGCAAACCTGAAGCCAAAAGATCACTGCATCAATGGCCATTTCGAAGCAGCTCCATCTACTCTTTCTTCTCTCAGTATTTTTCGCCCTTCATCGTCTTGTTCTTTCCGACACCGGTAACTCTCCCACTTCCGTCAAAGATCTTCTTGAATTTTCATTTTGTGTTTCTTGATCTTCTTGATCTCAGTTGTTTACTAAAATTATACTCTTCACTGATATTTAGTGTTTTTTTTTTTTTGTGTTCTGTTTCTGAAATCAACAGGTGAAGAAGATCTTCTTAAAGTGTTCAACGATGTTAGAACATCACTAAAGCTAAAAACCTTAACAAAGAACAAAAACGCAGACTGTCTCGCAGACGAAGTCGCAGACCAACTCAAGAGCCAAACCTGCACAAACACCACTGACTTCACTTTAGTCCCTGAAAAAGATCCTAGAATCCCAAATTTCCCTAACCTCCTCGCTAAATGCAGCCTCAACACAAGCGTAATCAGAGACGGCGAGATAATGAAAGTTTGTGCTCCTAACCATGATCCGATCCCTGTCTTGAAAAATTTCAGCCTTGTCCTAACCAAGAACTTGAATGATTCTAAGTTCACTGGAATTGGTATCGGTTCTGATAAAAACTGGGTTGTAGTTGTCCTCACTACAAACACACCCGAGGGTAGCTATTCTCTAGCCACTAACTCCTCAGGAGCTTTTGCATTCGGAGTTAATGGCCTTGTTATTTCTTCAAGTTTGTTGCTTCTTCTCTTTTGTTTCCTCATGTTTTGACCAGCGTTTTTGGTGTTTTTCATAAGTCACCTCGTTTGTCTTTGTTTCTTAATATGTTGTGCTTGTGGTGACAATTTGATAATTTCGTATGGCGTTAAATTTTAAAGAGAGAAAATAAAATACAAAGTTTCTTATGATCTCATGATACGCCATGCAAATATAATAAATGGAGACTTGTTTAGTTCATCAACTAATTGCCCTATATGGTTGTGAGATAGAAACAAAACATATTGGGTGGTACAACTAATTGTATTTATGCGTTGACTGTAGTCTGTATATAAATGGACAAATAATAGTCACAACTTCAACACTCTTCTTAAATTGGAGTGTAGAGAAAAGAAAACTCACATTAAAAACGACATTGTTTGTTGAGTTGTCTGCGTAGCATCAAGTCGATTGGTAACTAATAAAAGACAATAAAAAACCCACCAAACCAACGACTTTGACGAGTCAGAAAAGAGCATCGAAAAGAACTAAAAATCTTATAAAATAAATAGAGACAAGAAAACAAACATTCATCTGCCGAAAAACAACTCAGTAAAAGAGAAGTAAGGATCAAGAACCTCTCTTGATCAATGGCGATTTCGAAGAAGCTCCATATACTCTTTCTTCTCTCAGTCTTTCTCTCCCTTCATCGTCCTGTTCTTTCCGGTAACAACATATATCACATCTTCTTGATCTTGATCTTTTTTTCAATATAGCTAACTAGGTTTCTTGAAATCTGTTGGTTGACCTTAGATCTTGTTTAAAACTCGTCGAATCTGTTTCATATAAGCCTAGATCTCGATCATTGACGATTTCTTTGTTTACTAAACTATACTTGCGATGGAGATTTTATCAATTTGTTGCTTCATCTGAATACTTTTGTGTGTGCGTTGACTGTTTTTTTTTTGTTATTGAAATGTACAGATGAAGAAGAGGTTCTTATTACAGTCCTCAACAACTACAGAACATCCATAAACCTAACAGCCTTGGTAAAAAACGAAAACGCAGAATGCCTAGCTGACGAATTAGCAGACCAATTCAAGAACCGACCATGCACAAACACCACTGGCTCAGCTGCAGTTCCTGGAACAGAACCTGGATTCTCAAACTTCCCTAAACTACTCTCTAAATGCCGACTCAACATTACAGTCACTAGAGACGGTGTGATCTTGCCATCTTGTGTTCCTCACCTTGATCAGACCCTTGTCTTGAACAATTACACAAAGTCACAGTACTCCAGGAGTTTGAACGATTCTAAGTTCACTGGGATTGGTATTGGTTCTGATGATAACTGGGTTGTCGTTGTCCTCACGACAAACACACCAGAGGGTAGCTATTCTCCGGCTACTAACTCTGGAGCTTTAGCATTCCGAGTTAACGGCGTTGTTTCTTCAAGTTTCTTGTTTCTTCTCTCTTGTTTCCTCATGTTTTGAGTCCTTATTCTTTTTTTTTTTGTTTTGTTTTCCATATTTGAAATGACCTCATTGTATTTGTTTCATATAATATGCTGTGGTGAGTTTGTATGGTAATATATAAAGAGAAGAACAATGTTGGAGAGCAAAATCACCTTTCTTAAGTACGTCAGTACGTGTTCTTAAGACAATCAGGAAACGAGATATGTTCTTCTTATATTATACAGAGAAGTCCCTAGCTATATGACTTCACATTATCATTCTCTTGTCAGTTGTCACCCACCCAGCTGAAACCCAAACAAACCCGATTTGCTGCTGTAGACCGAGGACACATAACATCATGACTATGTGCAAATAGGCCCATTTATTATAAAAACGAATATATTGGCCCATATTAGTTAGGCCCATAATATTTTACATTAATAAAAGTGTAAAACATTTTGTCGGCAAAAGTGTTCAGAACTTTGGAAGATTGAAAAAAATCCATCATACTTCACAGACAAGGTGGTTGATTTTGGTAGAGTAGCTTTCAACAATTCTGGATCATTTACTGTTTTTAGAGAATTTTCTTACTTAATTATGATTTATTTTTTCTTATTACCGTTCATAGTCCATTTTTTTTTATGAAGTCTATGATATGTAGTTTTTTCAATTTTTTAAAAAAACAATATAAATATTATAGCTAAAATATATATTAAAATCTAAATATTTACCACTTACAAGAGCATCAATCCTCGGTTGCAAGCTCAACGAATCAAACTCCAAATATTGTTTATTTCCAAACTCACATTTATAATGATCTCGCTAACCCCCATATTCAGTTTTTTTTTTTTTTTTTTCGTTTATATCCGAGCTATGCAAGTATTAGAATATATATTTGTTATATCAAGCTGGAGAAAAAAAAAGAGAGAAACTTGAACGTACTTCATTTTTTGGGTTTCATTGTAGTAAAAAACTAACATAATAGTGTATTAAGTTCGAAATTAGTAAAAAATATAATAATTTTTTTTTAGTCATATTCATATTATACATGAGAGAGAATAATGTATGCAATTATTTATGAAATATTACACTATTTGTTTTGGTAATTTTAAATAAATGTATTTTGGTCAATCATTGTTTTTACTATTTACCGGCCCACATACAGATTCAATATAGAGAGTCTTTAGTCAACATTATGATACCATATCTTACGAAATGAACATTTACAAGAAAGCCACATGCAAAGAGTAAAAAACCCCATTTGACACCATATCATCATAGTGCAGTTTGGTTGGTTGGTGGATAGACTTGAAAGAAAGAAAGAAAGACAGAAACAAAGCTGTATAAATAAGAAACAAGAATATCTTTCTCACTTTTGAAATCTTGATTTTGTCTCGATTTCTATAATCTATCTTTTAGATTTTGTGCCTGCTTTTTTTTATTTTGTGTGTTCTCTCCATATAAGTGTGAGGGAGCGTTTTGATTGAGGGACTTGACTATTTTCAGACACGACGTCTAAAGAAAAAAGAAGAAGACAAGTGAATTTTGCGTTTAGGATACGTCTTCGAAACGTCACTTTCTTTTGTTCACTAACAAACAATGAAGTTAACGATCTCTCATATATAAATGACTGATATATATATATATATCACAGAGATAGATTGGGAGAGAATCGTATCTTGCTACTTTCTCACCCTCACTTTTTCTTTCTCTTCCTTTTTTTTAGATTTTTTTTCAACTGCTTTCTCTATCTTAAGCAAGAAACTAAAATTGAGAAGAAAAATTCTTCTTCTGTAAATTTTCTATGATTCTTTTATAGTCATTTAACAAAAACAAAATAACTTTTAAACAAAGCAAAGTAGTGGCCTTTGTTTTAGGGGAAAAAATTACGATTATTGGTAGAAGGTCATGCATTGATAATTTGGGTCAACAACATACATTATATATTTACTACAAAAACATATGCTAATTCTAGTGAAACATGAATTATATATTTAAGAGTTTATTATAGCGGAAATAGTATGTATATATATATATATATATATATATATATATATGTTGTAAGTACGTACACCATAATAAATTAAATTAGACCAACAAAAGCATATATTCTTAACCATCTTGTTTGATTCATAAACAAACAGATTTTTTTTTTTACATTGATCTAATATTGTTTTTTAGCGAGGAAACTATATTCTGTTTAGCGATAATCAACGGGGACGTAACTATATATATATCTTCAACAGATCAAATTCAGTGTTAATGTGACAACAATCACATCGATCGAGTTATACTGGACATGTTTTTAAAAACCTGAAACGTGAAGTAGTGTAGTATTAACGAACATGAAAGGTTCTGATGAGTGTGACGATTAAAACAAACGATCGAATGCAGATAACTAAAACTAATATAGACCATTCATTCATTCATCAGTAGTCAATCTTCACTCCATTATTAAAAAAAAATTGATCCATGTTTAATCTGGTTGGCTCCTTAAGATACAAGGATTTTACAGTGAGTGCATTATCCAATATATCGAAATTCAGAGAATAAAAACTTAAAAAAAAAAAAAAAGCCTGTGTGCGCTCAGCGCTGTGAGTGTAATGAGTAATGAATGACTTTCTTATATTCGTGTCGAAGAATTATAATTTTATGACCTTACTGAGTTACATGGACCTCTTCAATTATTCAGCTCTAGTTCTCTATCGAGACTCGAGAGAAATTATTATCAACAAATAATATGTGTGTCAGTGCATGTGTGTATCCAAACGAAGTCGATCGTTACTGATACGGGATACTGATACACGTATTTATTTTACAGGGCTTATTTAGTATATATCATAGCTACTAGGGTTTGATCGTGTCAACCTAGAAAAGTTATGTGTACAAAACTATATGGTTCAGAAAGGAAATATTGTAGACTATAAACAATAACCCGTTAGGGTTTCTTTAATCGGTATAAACATGTATCAGTTTAGTTTTTTTATTTAGTTCAGATTGTTTTTTTTTTTTTGTTGCTGCTAAACTTGTAAATATCATATAAAAAAAAACAGGCTGGTTTTACAATATTAAACCTAAGAATTGGTTCCTTAGCAAAAATTAATTTGATAAAAAACAAAGAAGCAAAACAGTTCATGTGATTCATAGACCCATTAATTTCTTGAACCCCTTTCTACTACTCCTTGTGGAAATGGTGTTTAAGATCTCGCGGTCCAAAGTCTTGAAGATCACATTTGAGGGGATAATCTGTTGATTATAAAGAAGATCAGATTGGTTTCTTCAAAATTTATTGTATACTTTCTTTATTTCCGCCAATCTTGGAGTACGTCTACAATTTTTCTTTGAGTAGTCGTAACATCGAAAACATTATTCATCCACGTCCGTTCCAAAAGGCATATAATCAAATCTCATCATAATGCGTTTCTCACGGATGCGTATTGGTTCCTCCTAAGTCGTATACTGCGTTAGTGGTATTCCAAGGGTTATAATTTCTAATTAATGCATGATTATATCTTTTAACAACAAAAAAAACTTATAATGCATGGTTTCGAGTAGTTTCCTAATTGTTATGAAGTTTGGTCTGTCTCTTCAACTAGTGAGGTGTTTGTTTAATCCTTGACGAATCGTTATTTAACAACCCTTTTTACCGGTTATGTTATTCATGAATGGATCTGAAATTAGCTTAGGTTTATCAATCAACTTATTAATTATATTCAATATATAGTACTTGTAAGTTGGCAGAGAAAAAGGAAGATAGAGTATATATTTTAGGGCAGGAGCAAATCCACCAATAGAGTAGCAGCTAGGATTTGGTTTTGTCTGACACGATTTACGGAATCCATCCACACCCGCGAAATCAGTACATGTCTAATTGTACACATTTTTTATGTTTCTTGGGTAGAAAAATATACAGTATAAAAAAGTTGTAATTTTCTTTAATTATTTGTATGTATTATTTGGTATTGGATAATAAATAAATAAAAATTATCTTGATTATTAAAAAGAAACATAGTTACAGACTTGTATATAGTTACCAATTCAAGTAGTAACTTCATTTACTTGGGAAATTTAATATAATAGTATATCGTTTCTTAGAATACAGGGTTATTCATAAGGTTGATGTTGCAATAAAATTCACAAGTTAATTAATTGGTTAAATATTCGGTCAAAGAGAGCGACATCAAAAAGAATATAATGTAAAGGAAAGCCCACATTCAAAGAACAAAAAAGTTTTTGATTAAAATAAATACTTTCAATTTTTATATATATAAATAATAATGCTAAAAATAATTAATTGGCAAAAGGATATATATAAGAGGTATGAACGTTCTGAGGATAGAACCATAGAATGGAAAGAGGACGTACGTCATGGTCGTAATCGTTGTTGGTACGTAATAGTATATTAGACGTCCACATACATATATATATACGTTTAAAAATACTCACCAGTCCTTTTCCTCTGCTTAGCCACAAAGAAACATACCCCAATTGCCACTTTTGATCATTTAAATGCTCTTTTCTTGCAGATTCAATATGAAAGTTTTAACCTAATTGAAAGCACATAAAAAAAAAAAAGATATCGCGTCACTAATCAAGTTGGTTAGGACTATATATATATAGTAAATTACGTAGGCAAGTGAACTTTCAAACGGTCATATCATTAAGAAATATGAAGCATCGCCTCTCAGTGGATCAAAATCTCATCAAATGGCCGGGTTACTAGTTTTGAAATTTCAAGAGATTACGTCGTAGTAGTCATGTATTATAAGTTTGGATGGTAAAAATATATAGTTTGGATGGTAAAAACATATAGTTTGGATATTTTCACAGATTACTTAGTCATGTAAAAAGTTTCGATCAATATATTGTTCATCGGTAAGTTTATTTTGAAGGTATAAAACGTTTCCCATTAATTTGAGCAAAACACGAATGTTGGTGCAACAATGTGTGTCGTTTCTTCGTTCGGTTGTTCATTAACTGTTATATCAAATAAACGTGTTGTAATTCAATTTATGTAGAAACTAGCCAATTTAACAAAAGATTATTGACTTGATGCTATATAAATAATGATATATATATTCCCTATATATATATATATAATGTTTTGTAAAATTAATTAGTTTGAACATGCGAATTGCAATAATACAGAAATGGATAGACGCGGATCCATGCATACTACTTTTGCGAGAAAAAGGAACGTGAAAAAGGAGCTTTATTTATATATACCGATCGCCACTCACAAACACACAGTAATTGAAAAATTAAACAATAACATAAATTAGCAATAACCAAAAAGACAAAACCCTTACTATAAAAGAGTTTCCAAGAGAGCAGTCCAATGGAGTTTCACGTGTCCCTCACTATATTTCTTATTTTTATATTCCACCACATATAAAAAAGATGAAACGAGTGGACACTTGCACTATTATTGCAATTTTTTTTTATTTGTAATAATATTTTTTACCTTTTTATTTATCATAGAGAACATAAATTATATATATTTCTTCTTACCATGCACATATAATTATAAATAATTAATATACTACAAGTTTCATGTATACCTTTTTCTATATACATATATATGTGAATATCTCAAGACTCAATTAACCAATTATAACATCTATAAGTCTAATTATGAAGATATAATTAGGTCTACTATTTCTAGCAAAAGGAGCAAAATTAAGATATTCTTATAGCAAAATAGTGTGTGTAGTATACGCATAGTTTTAAATTTTATCTAAACCATTACTGCTACTTGCTAATTAAGATCGGTTGTTTTAGAACTAAGGTACTTTTTCATGTTTAAGTGGAGTAGTCGCAAAAAGATCACTCCAAGTTTAAAAATATATAAGAACATTTCAGCAAAAATAAATAAATATTTAAGAACATATAAAGAAGCTTCTAAAAAATCCCATTTATTAGAATTTCTTATTAATGATAAAAGAATTATCGAGCTGTTAGATACTTAGATGCATGCAACTGATTATTCATCATTAATCGAGGCAGATGCAATTAATTTTTGTATTTGGCTCTAATTTTTTATTTGTAAAGCAAAATACAGATATAGTTTTAAAAAAAAGTTTTAAACAAACGCCGAACACATCCGTCGTCCGTACAATAAAAGCCTTTTGATTTGGCGGAGAGATGCGATGGCGGGGTGGGTTCTGATGACGTCGTCGTTGTACGGACCATCCTAGTTTTTTTTTTTTTTTTGATTACTCAGGGTAAATCCCCGGACCTATGGAAGGATCCGAGACTAATCCCTGGAGAGAGGGTATCCCACAAGTGATGACCAAACAAATAAATCTAGTTTTTTTTTCCTCTCTAAAAAGTAACTTTTGTGAAATTTGAACCGTGTTCAGTCATATTTTTTTTTTTAAGAATAAAGTATTTTTTGACATTTTCTGGTATAAAGTTTTGAATGTAGAAGAAAACTAAATTACTAATCAAAATTAATAACAACATATTGAGATATTTAGAGGTTTTTCAGATGTAGAAATCATGAATATCGACCATACTTGTTGTAAAACTTGTTAATTATTATCAAAATCGACCATACTAAAAATTATATTATAGTTGAGTGTTTCTATTAATGTAATAAATTATTGGGGGGGGGGGGGTTTGGTGTCAACTTTTGAATTAAATTGTTGATTTATGTAACCAATTTACAATGGAACTAATTTGAAAATAAATTGCAAACAAGAAGATAACCTTATGATGATGAATTTGCGTTCAAATCTTATTTGTTTGGATAAGTAAGATTAATGGATAAGTCGACCAACTACTAATTTGATTTAATACGTTGAAAGACTTGGTAATTGAATTGGCAATGATAATAGGAAGCTTCTGGGTACACGAAGTTGAGTTGAGGTTGCCACTAACTAATTTCATCAGACCACTCAGGGAATCTTTCTTACCAAACTAGATTAACTGCCGACCAGACCACAAGCATATTCCCTCTGCCCATTTCTTCTTTTTTTTTAATTAAAGTTTTCTCGATCGAGTTAGGAAACGGCGATATTTCTATTAAAAAAAAAATATTAAAACACAGGATAAAAAATTGTGAAACTGTAAATACAGAGCAAATTAAAGAAGTTTCTCTCTGTTATTTTTTTAGGAAGTAGCAACACAAAAAGATTCCCAATTTAGCAGTCCCCTGTTTCCCTGATTCCCTTCAGCGCATCTTCTCGATCTTTGAACATTCTCAACGCCAATCACTTCATCATCTTCTTCTTCTTCTTCATTTTCGTTTTCCTCCTCGTATAATTCTTCGGTTTCTTCAGGTTCAATCGTCTCTTCTTCGTTCTCTACAATCTCGTCTGAGTCTTTCAAGATAGAGAGACGGAGACGACCATTGCTCCGGTCAGCTTGAAAGCACCGGTTACGAGGCACCTCGTTTGTGGCGGTCATGACGAGTCTTCCGTTTTCACGGTGTGGTCTCATTTGAATGCTTTGAAACCCTCTCATAGTGGTCAAAGGAGGTGGGAGATCACTAGGGCTCACATTCCCTTTCCTACTTTTTAACGCTCTTGTCTCTGTTGTTGTTGTTGTTGTTTCCCCGAGATTCTTGTTCTGCACGTCAAGCGAGAACAACAAATCATCGACGTCTGTAACATCAGAGCCAGATTCGCTTCCGAGATTCTCAGTGCACAATGCTAAGCTCTGGTCGCTTAGAGCCCTACATGAAGACGGACGTTGAACATAAGTCTTCTCTTTCTCAGAGCTCGTCGTCTTTGAGGAGGAGGATGAGCCAGAGGAGAGAGACTGGAGAAACCTCCAGCCGCTCGAGTCAGGTCCTGGGGTAGCAGCTGGTTTGTCATCGTTAAGGTTCCGTGTGTCCTCTGCATTAGGGGAGTCAAGTGAATGAGACTTGAGAGCTAAACCAAAGGGCTGAAAGAAGTGAGGATTAGGTGAAGAAAGCCTAAGCCTTAAAGCCCTAGGCTCATTAAGCTGAGACTGAAACCCTTGTTGATACACAACAGTTCCCATAGTTTAAAATTAAGAGAATAGAAGAAAAAACTGTAAAGACTTGGGGGAGATGTGAAACAAAGAAGCAAGAGAGAGAGAGAGAGAGAGAGAGAGAGAGAGCTGTGTGTTTGGAAATAAGAATGAAGGACAATGAGAGGGAGAGGATGCCAATTTGTAGTGTCAAAAAAGTGAATAAAAATAAATAAAGAAAATAAAAGAGAAAGAGAAGTGACTGTGCAATGTGCAGAGACTAGAGAGGTGGGTAAGGGACCTTTTCCACACCACCACTTGAATAATGCAAATTTATATATTATTTTATTTTATTATGCCACACAATGCAGATAAGAATACTATTGTGTAATGTATATGTGTACCAAATAGAGAGAGAGACCCACTGTATTGTGCACATGATTAAAATTGAAAGAAAAAAAAAATCTTCATAACCTTATTTTTACTGTTACAAAAGAAAAAAATCTGATAGGTTAGTTTATATGAACATATTTGGAAAGCATAGTCTATACAAGAAACTTGGTTAATCATCGTTTTTGACTCATTTGGCAAAAAAAAAGAAGAAGAAAAGACTGCATTATTCAGCAGCCAAGCCAAGGAACTTTCGACCCTCTTGTGATCTGGGACTGAAAGAGACTACCCAGTAAAAGAAGAAAAAAAGTATAGAGTGAAAGAGAAAAATTCCAAATGAATTTTAAAAGAGAGGAACTATGTGAATAAATGTTTTCAACTGAGGTTTTTATTTACTAAGAAGAGTAAAAAACTTTATACATATTTTTATTAAAGTAATAACAACAATTTAACATCTGAATGAAAACATACGGCCAGTTACAGAGAGACACGTAATGTGGAAGTAACATGACAAAAAGTTTACAGACAAGTTTTGTTCTTTCTTTTTATATTTTACCTTCCAAAGAAAAAGAAACAATCCAACAAACCTTACGAAAGTTCTCAAATTTGGTTTCCCCAATAGTGCTATGATTATGAAAACGATTGTTTGTTTTTCTCTCTAATAGTACTCTCTCTTTAAAAAAAATAATATATATTTTAAAAGCAAAGGAGTCGTGTGTCACACAGGCATGGATGGTCAAAACCTATGTCGGGTAATTCTTAGACCCAATTTAAACAACATGATAACAACTGCCCACTAATTTTGAAATCTAATAAAAATCCCATCAAACCAAAAAAAAAAATATTAATTCTTGGCACTAATCAAGGAATAAACACAACATGGGTTTCCATGCAAAATTTTTATAGAAAAGAATGGTATATAGCTTGAAGAAGATTGTCATGTATCAAGAAACCACGACATGAAACAAAATTACAAGAAACATAAAACAATCAAAGTGTGCCGAAAATACACTTACCTCAATTACACTGTATTTGAATGCAAGAAAGCAATACCAACATTTCCGCCCACTTATTATGACCTACAAAACGAAGAAATATTAGTTATTAATTAGGTTGATTGATAGATATAATGAAAAATAAAACACATCAAATCAAAGTGGCCAAGGTTTTGGTTAAAATGAAATATAATAAGGTTAAGTGACAAATAACAAGGAACCACCTATGTTTCAACATCAAACACTTTTCTCTAACTCTATGACAATATTGGGTGGTTAAGTTAACATCAAACCTTGTCCTTTGAATCTTTGGCTAGCCAGCAGTAATTTGAGATTAAACTTTCGAGACTTGCCCTCTTAAGCCATGTGTTACCCTAAAGAAACCGTACGGAACAGCTTAAGAAGACAGAGTTTAAGATTCATTTCAGTCGTCAGCAAGAACAAGTGATTCCCCACTAAACACTTTTCTTTCGTCTGTCTCTCTGTTAAATCAGATGCTTACGTACTTAACCCCATTCTAAACAACAAAAGACACTTTTATTTCCTACTAAACAAATCCCCTAGGGTCACTGACTTTTGCTTAGCTCTAAGCCATGTGGATTTATTATTATATAAACTAATGTAACCTAGTACTCTTCTCTCTAAACTAAGGAAAGCTAGAACGCATGAGCTGTTCACCTATTCCAAAGAGGGTGGGGAGAGATTTGTGAGATCTTCCTGGGTTTCCTGTTACAGAAAAAGCCATCTCAGTTTAGTACTTGTGTTATAATAAAGAATGTGTAGCTACTAGCATTGATGAACTGTGAGCATAATGCTAGCTTGTGTGCTGTATAACTCTATGATCAACTTTAATCACCACATTCCATGTCTTTTCGAAGTTTATTGCAGACGTGAACAAAGCAAGTGGATCTTAGTTTATGTTTTCAAGAGATTCTGTGGTCACTAATCAAGTCTAAACGAATTTGGTACAAAGATACCTTCGATTAAATATATCTGTTCTCAGATTGTTTCCAATATCAGTACTCAGCTTCTATAACACGGAACTTCCGACTATACATTCCCAGGCTATATATTCCCAGTGGTTGATCACGTATTACTAGTCCACTAGCAGATGCTACCAAGATTTGTTTTTTTTTTTTTTCATTTGAATTTACAAAGAACAAGTGCATAGAGAACGGAAATGTGCTGACAATAATCTGTGGTTTATGGAAATAGATCTAGCCAAGACAATTTCCAATTTTCGCAATATAACTCAGTAATCCGTAATTTCACAATCACTGTTTTGCTATTAATTATGCTATTATTCATAAACCTATGTGGGTTTTTCTAGTCTCTCTCCCTGTGCTGAAGGAATCAAGAATGATATAATTAAGCAACTAGTTGACATGCTTAGAATGAATAAAGAATGAAACAATAATTAGGATTCTCTAACGTAAGCAAGAGTAAGAAAGTTATGACATAGTTTAACTAATAAAAGTGGAAAAAAGGAGCTGACCTGCAGACGTAATCTCCAGACAAATATCCATAAATTGAATCTTGATCAGCATAGGTGGTCCTAAAATCTGAACCACCCCCATAGAAGAGAAGAAAGTAACACAGCAACCTTTGGCCTCTCCAAGGGAGAATACTTTTGAGTGTGTCCTTATACAAAAGCTGCTTTTCTACATAATTAAGATTACAATAATTAAGTGAGTAATGACAGAGGCAAAAGCATCAGATTTTAAATCAGAATATGTTTTGACTTCGTATCACTCGCTTGGTTCATGCCCATGACGCAAGAAAGTTAAAAGAAGAAAGAAAAAACAGAGTGAAACTCGAATCATAATCCATCAATGTTTGTTATTGGTTTCAAGTTTTCAATTAATGGCGGATCTAAAAGCAAAGGAAATACGTCATACCACTAGAGATTAAGTGGAAACATAAACTTAAGCCTTACGTTTCCATCTATGTTCTATGATCATAACGTTAAACACGAGTATTGCATCTCTTGGCTCACTATAGATTGCATAACAAAAAAAAGAAAAAAAAAAAGCCCTCCACCATCTTTTGACCATATTAGTGGAACCTTTATGTGACAATTCTCCAACTTTTAAATCCTGACCCAGAAAAAAAATCTCTATCATTAGAATGGGATGGGGAGCTTATTTAAGCCATGCATACAAATGTTATTGGCTAACATATTTTACAACTTTATGTAGAGAAAGACTATAAAAGCTTATTATTATACAATAGAACTTTCTCCTATGCTTTTACGGAAGCATGACATCCACACAAAATATCAATCTCATCCATAATCTCATCCATAACTAATGTCTAACTCACATATTTTCCAAACAAGCAAAATTTTCCAAAGATTAGATGTCAACATTTGAAAAAGTTTTAGCGTGGTCTAGTTATAACGACTCAAGTACAAATTAATACGAACAAAAAACACACAGGTAAACTTACATTTAGTTGATGCACTATTGGAACAATGACTCTTCATCAGCTCGGTCTTATCCAAATAAAAAGACATGTTGATTCAGCAAAGATGATTTTGTATCTCAAACCAGAAAGCTTGTGATGGTTGTGCCATGCCTGGAACGTATTTGACCTTTTGACAGTGGGAAAAAAATTCTCAAGTTAAAGATTTTTTTTGAAATTTCACTTTCACATAGAGGCTAAACTAATGAAGACTGAGGCAGAAACAGATCAAAGCAATTATTGGCACTCAGAAGTTATTGAATGACTCAATTTCTAAAAATGTGAAAACACTCAACAAATAAGAATCTCTTAGAGTGTCGCTGATACAAAAAAAAAATCAAGCTAATAAGGGATAGACAGAGAGGTTATTACATTGATATGTAAGAGAAACAGAGTAAAACAAGAACATGGACACTCTTCACGAAACACATCTACAATGTATTGAAATTAGGCTACACCGGTAACAGATATCCATTTACTAACAGAGGTAAACTGTAACATAACTGAAAGTTGAGAAAGATGGACATTCATAGTGGCATACCAAAAATGATTGTAACAAAATAAATGCATGTGGGATAAACTGTTACTCAATCTCTTAGTAACCAATGTAGAATAGGGAAAATCTCTGTTAATCATACAATGTCATTAACACATCCCACGCGTTAACAAAGACGTTCTTGCTAAATTTCTAAATCAAGTCAAATGATGCACTCTTGATCATCAAAAATGCAACCTTATAGACAGTGTCTACCAATCCTAGTTCTTGAGAGCTTCAAATATATTGGTTTAGTAACAAATCTAGTATCAGAGAGAGAGAGAGAGCAAAACAATGTAGAATAGAGAAACATATGTTCATCATACAAAATCATTATTATATATCCCACAAATCAACAAGTCAAAATAAATGCAGTCTTGATCATCAAAATGCAACCCTCAAGAATTCAACATCTTCAACGGTACACAACAAGAGCAAGAGAATTCCAAACTAGATGCAGAAATTTCCAAACAATATCAACGAATGCAACATCAGGGATTATATATAAATATGCACATTGGGCTTCAGTTGCATTTCCTTTTATCGGATTAATTTATACATATGTTTTTTTTTTCTCAAAATGTGTGTGTCAGGATAGAAAGGCACGCACCAATGGAACATATTCTGAGTAACGACATCGTCGTAGCAATCAAATTTTCGAATTCCGAGACCAATGCCGTCTCCTCCTCCCACAAAATCGAGTCGACATTGAAATCTGAGCACGCGCGATTACCGAAACCGCAATTTCTGACATTTAGGGTTTGCCAAATCGAACCAGATGAATACGAATTACGGAGACATTGACACAGCGAAGAGTATCTATTCTCGGGTAACAAACAACAATCTGGAAATCTGAATCGGACCTTTTGACGTGTGACCTCCTCTTCTCTTCTCGTCTCGTCTCCTCCTCGAATCGCCATGGATACAATATTAAACAAAATAAAAAATGCCGAAAGACATGAACTTGCACGTGTCTCACGTGCCACAGTAGGTTCTTTTTAAATTCTTTAAACAATTAAAAGTTAAAACAATGGAAAAAGAACAACCTTTTTTTTTTTTTTTTTTACAATGGAAAAAGAGAGAGTTTCCTATAAACTGTAATTTTCTTATTTATTTTTTTGAGGAACAAATAAACTGTAAAATTAAAATCTTGCCTAAGTTCCAATCAACCAAAACAAAAAAGACAAATCACTAATAAGGTAAAAACCTAAACACATAGCGCGGTTGTGCCTCACTGAGTATTCGATCATTAAGCCACGCCGGTGACGGTCCATGACCTGAAGCAAGGTACCCATTGAAACGACCATCCCTCATAACACTAAACGCAATATCCCCTGCAATGGAATTAGAGTGACGAGACACCACCTCGAAAGTGATATAATCAAATGATTTTGCTTGACAAGTTATGATAATCGCGTTCACCAATCCTCGATACTGAGGCCAGTAACTCGGGTTATACAAGGCCGCGATCGCAGCTTGACAATCCGATGCGATTACCACGTTTTTCACACGAAGATCTCTTAAGGTTTGGACCGCCCACAAGATACACCTCAGCTCAGCAATGATCCTGTCTGAAGACCTTGTGAAAACGTCTCTTGCATGGTATATAACCTTACCATTGCAATCACGAGCAATCAAAGCTACACCACTCATCATAGCAGGATTTCTCCAATCAGCATTCACATTACACTTGATGAATGGTGTGGGTGGAGGACACCACCTGAGATCCAAGGGCGTGCCCCGACCAAAGCATGAGCCATACGTATCTACCGGTTGCGCATTAAGCCATAGTGTCGCTGCAAGCAAAATATAAATTCTGAATTATTTAGTTTTAAAATACAAGTTAGATGTTGACGACAATAACCTTAAAAGATTACAAAACTCGTATCCCATATAGTGTTTATCAAAAGTTAAAAATTAATGGTTATGATATAACGAAGAACGTTTAATTAATTACGATTTTGCTGGAAAACGAGATCCATGTGTCCTCTGTGCTGAGGAGGAAACCTTATCATCATCATCATCTCTTCAACCTTGTTTTTAAAGGTTTGACCAGCTGAAGATTCTAATACCAACTCCAAAATTTTCTAATATGTTATACAGATGATTGTTGCTTTGAGCATCTACCACGTACCATGATGAAACTAAACAAAATGATGAGGGTTCTTATAGAATCAAAATTGGAAAGGAAGTGATGATATGAATAAATATTGGACTGCATCTTACCATATATACACCATAGTCAAGAAATTAAAAACGTTACCAAATGTATAGCACATAGATTGAATATTTGGAGGAATATATTAATTTTCTGTATGCATTTAGGTGTAGTATAAATTCACTTAGGACTCTCACACATGAGGTGGTTACAATTGTTTGTCTTGTTGAAGGTGAAGAAAATGGAAGATCTCTCTATCTCTGATTCAAGAACAAAGGTACATGAATGAATATCTCTTGAGAAAAAAATTCAACTGTTATTTGTCTTATGAAATCTATGGAATTGTGTTTTCTGTGTGTTTGTTTTTTTTTTTGTATCAAAGAGATCAGTACATCTGTTTCATGATTCATATTGCTTTGAATGCTATATTACAAATATACATCCATGTTCAAAAATTCTGATTTATATATCAGGGGTTATTTGCTATTTTCGTGTCAATTAAATTTTTGATTGGTAATCATTTATCGTAACGGTGAGAAATCTCCCGCGTTTTTTTTCTGTTATCCAAAATAACAAATTTATCGATACGAAAACCGATATTACCGTTATTTTCGTACCTCTATCTTTTATCTTTCATGGAAATGGTACTAGAAATATAAGCATCATATCGAAAAATATTCCTATATTTTTTTTTTGAATCAATAAGCACCTGATTAAGGAGATTTTCTACAATTAGATATCATCTCAGATTTACATATCACATACATGTTCATAGAGCCTAACTTTTATCTTTACATCATATGGGATATATAAATCATATAAAAAGGTAAGAAGAACAAAACTAAATTGGTTTCTAAAGTAAAATCCTATATGATGTTAAGATTTATTTATGTCTCTGTAACATAGGAATATGTAAAGGTTTGATTGGTTAGGACTTAGGACAGTATATGTATAATGCTAGACTACTGTCAATAAGCTTTAATTTGTGTTGTTTTTAATGTGAAAAAAGACATACGATATATAGTTCTAAGTTTGCTTTATATGTGATAATAGCAACTGTGAGATCAGATGATACTCACCTACACTACATACAAGTCTTAAACATATCCAATGGCTAAGATCGGTAAGGTTAATCTGTTAATCCAGTATTAACCAATAGTAAGGCGTATAGGATGATTATATGTAGCTTAATCCAACAATTAACCAATCGTAACGCTTCCACGGAGGATAATGTTACTCTCATCTAGTTGTTTGATAAAGGAGAAAACAGAAGAGAGACAGTAAAAAATACAATAAGCCAAAAAAAAAGGGGTAAGAAAAATTCAAAGCGAGGTTCTCGGGAACCAATCTGGAAGGAGAGGGAGAGGGTGCAGAGAAGGAGGAGAGAGAAGAGTTAGCGAAGACGATGGCGATGTTAGAGATGAACATTATTGGGCTATTCATGGTTCTTATGTTGCTTCTCATCTCCCTCATCATCCTTTTCGCCTGCAAGCCATGGCGCTACCTTTCTCGTTTCCGATCCTCTCGTTTTTCTTCTACCTTCAAGGTACCTTCCTCCCCCACCCCCACCACTATTCGAATCTCCTGAGTCTTCGTTCCGAGGCCTTTGTTTGATTTGATTTGATGAGGTGTGGCTGGTGGTGGGGATTCTCTTTGCGAAATGATCAAATTGATAACGCTTTTTGATCACCAGTGACAAGTGTTACGTCGTTGAATCATGATTCCTTTCGCGGGTATTTAGGTTTTTTTTTAATCAATTGGGTAGCTTATGTGATTGATTGTGTGTCGACGCGGGGCGGTGAGAATGTGTTTTGGTTTCTGAACAATCTGATTTTGACTTTTGGAAATGAGAATGTGTTGTTCATTTGAGTTTTCACCGGTGGTGGAACAAAGTTCCGTTCGCAGATCACGGTTTGATAGTTTTGTCTTGTGTTGTAATGAGTGTGTATATCTACTTTTCTTTGCCTGCTCACCAAAAAACCGTTTGTTTTTAAAAGCCTTAATTGGGCAATTCCGAGTACTTTTGTGCTTTATGTTTTCTTCTTCTTCTTCTTCTTCTCTAGCTGTAGTTGGAGCCTTACTATCATAACTGGTGGTTTTGTTTTCATTTATATGCAATTTCTGCATTACTTGGATATCATACTAGAATTGTATGACAACTAAATCCGGCATTTATTACAATCTTCGTACAGGGAAATCTTTTCTCTGCTGAATTGAGTTTCTCATGTGTTGTAGCCCTAATACTTTCACCACCATTCTCTGCAGGTGGGGGATTTGCAAAGACCCCTTATATCTGATGATAGAAATCTGATCCAAGGCCAAACCAGTGACGTTACAAGGGAATATGATTTAGAGGGAGCTTGCTACCAGAATGACGGCCTTTTGCATTCATCTCTGACCGAGGGACGGGTTTACAAACAAAGGCTTCCTTCTTCATCTCCCCATTTCACCCAAGGTAACTCTTTCCTCTTTCCTCCACTTCTATCCACCTCTGGTGAAGAAGTTTGGATATGGACATGATCCAGTTTTTGTCAGAAACACCTTTTTTGCGTTGTGAACTCTATGCATCACTCATTCTTCACCTTACCGATCTGCCCTAAATTATGTAGGTGAAAGCTTTGTTCTAGATGTAATTTCTGAACCTTCTGACAATGCTTTGGTGGGCCAAACGCTAAAACCTCCAGCTGAAAAAGGTACCTTGGCAGAAGTGCAAACGTATGACTCGCAGGATAACATAAGTCAATATCTGCAAAATGATCTGGAAAAGGACAGACGTACTGATCTTTTTCCGAAACTCATCAAAGATCAAAGTAATTTCCTTTTCTTTTGCTTTCCTAGGGTGTGTAATACAACTCCATTCCATTTCTTCAATTAGTCGTGCAGACATATATCATATTTGTATTAAAAGTGCAGGAAGTTGGCTGTTCCTGGAGGTCATTGCGGGTCCTGCCATTGGGCTTCAACATGCTGTGCACTCCACAAGTACCTCCAAGCTGCCAGTGAAACTTGGAAGGATTTCTCCAGCTGATTTGGTTTTGGAGGATTCAGAAGTTTCAGGGAAACATGCACAAATAACTTGGAACTCTACTGTAAGGAGCTATAGAGTTTTACTTCGAATTTTGCATGTCACTTTTTACACTGCGTCACACCTGCCTTGATTTGATTTCAGAAATTGAAATGGGAACTGGTGGATATGGGTAGCCTAAATGGAACTCTCGTAAACTCGCAGTCAGTAAGTCATCACGATTTAGGCAACCGGAAGTGGGGTAACCCTGTCGAGCTTGCAAGTGAAGATATAATAACTATGGGAACAACTACAAAGGTCCATGTAAGTCGATTTGAGTGGTTAAAGTTTCTTGCTGATTCTTTGTTTTACTTATTGGTTTTCATGCTATTTCTTTTCTTCTTCTTTGAAAGGTCCGTATCTCGTCTCAGAATGAGTTTCAGATACCATTTAAAATTGGTGTGGCCTCAGATCCCATGGCTATACGTCGAGGAGGCAGGAAACTTCCTATGGAAGATGTCATTCATTACAAGTGGCCGCTTCCTGGAGTGAATAAGGTAACCTTGATTTGTGATTTTGAGTTGTTTATGTGATGATGGGCTTCACTGTTTATGCTAACATAATTCTAAATGTAAATGGTTCCAGTTTGGGCTGTTTTGTGTTTGTGATGGACATGGGGGAGTAGGGGCTGCTCAAACCGCAATCAAGTGAGTCATATTATTATAATTTAGATCTACGCTATTTACTACTCTTTTCTAAAATCCTCCTCGATATTTCTTATTGCGGGTTTCCTTTTAATGCTTAACCTACCAAAGATATTCTAACCTGAAGAAGGCTGTGGTTGGTTATGTTTAAACTGCCGCCTTTCTGAGTTTGTCTATTGATTTTGCTTCATTCAATAATCAGATTTTGATGGCGTTTAAATTTTTAGCTGCATGTGATTAGCCATGCAAATACGTTACAGTTATGGCAGGCGTGGTTGCAGTCGGGAACAACTATCGTTGTTGAAACCTGTTCTGTTGATTTTTGTTTTGGGCTAGTTATTATATGTTAGGAGCCTTCACTAACAACTGGAGCATCTTTGATTTGAATTTTTGTCTCAAACAACATCAATTATATACTTGAATATTTAAGCTAATTTAACTTATTCTCCAGAATTATTCCTGAGGTTCTGGCGAATATTTTATCAGACACACTGAGGAAGGAGAAAGTGTTATCACAAATGGATGCTTCGGACGTCCTTAGGGACGTGCTTGCTAAAACAGAAGCTCGCATGGATGATCACCAATATGAGGTTCTGCAGTTTATCATTTTCTTTCCTTTTCCTTTAATTGCATGTTAGTCTTTACACTTGCTGATGATTAGCTGGACTATTTTTTATTCAGTCATACTTAATGAAATAGTCCATCGATGCAGGGTTGCACAGCTACTGTTCTCTTGGTTTGGAAAGACGGTAAAGGAAATTTCTTCGCACAATGTGCCAATCTTGGGGATTCAGCATGTGTTATCCAGTACGTTGAAAGATTATATTGCTATCTTAAGATTCTTAGTTGTGGAACTTGCATTAACCTGAGTATAAACTTGTAGCAGCATTTCTTGGTGTAGAAAGAGGGATGGGGCTTGATTACTCAGATTAGAAACAAGAATCTTGCGTGTTAAAGCGTGAGTGAGTGTGGTCTTCACATAATGAAAACCTCTTGTTTTGGAAACAGTAGATCATGTATAATCTAGGGTGTATGGTAGAGTAAATAGACACTAATAGATGGGATTTATGCTTTCCATTGTTTCACATCTTAGTAGAAATTTTGTTGAATTAGAGAAGCCTATCTGAATATCATTTTTTTGTTTTGCGGAAATAGAAAGAGAGTTTATCTTTACATTTTCCTTAATACTGATCTTAATAATCACAATAGCAGATAGTTGCTTTGCCCTCATGAATAAATGGTCTCGGCCAAATAATAGTAAATTCGAGCTTTTTAATTGATTGCGATTTGTTTTGCATTTGGCAGTCTTGATGGCAGATATATACAAATGACTGAAGATCATCGAGTGATTAGCCTGTCCGAGAGAAAAAGATTCCAAGAGGCAGGACTATCATTGAGAGATGGAGAGACTCGAATCTTCGGTAATAGCTCAATGAATTAAGCACGCTCTGGTAATTCCACCTTCATTGTAACAAAATAACCAAGTCTGATTTGATAATTTTGTTTTTCAGGTATAAACCTTGCAAGGATGCTTGGAGACAAATTTCCAAAGGAGCAAGACAGCCGTTTCAGTGCAGAGCCATACATAAGCCAGCCTTTGCGTATCGATCCATCTAGTAAAGATGTGTTTGCTCTATTGGCTAGGTAAAATACATAAAAACATACTAAGTTTGTCCCTTGTTCTCATTCTGTGTTGCTAATTCTAACAACCGATAAAAACAATTCTGTAGTGATGGGTTATGGGATGTGGTAAGTCCGAAGAAAGCTGTGCAGCTGGTGCTTCAGGTAAAGATATTTTGAATCATCAAGACATTTGCTAGTATGTCATAGAACCTGGATCTAATGAAGTGTTTGTGTAAAAAAACGAATGTAACAGATGAAAGAGAAAGAGAAAGAGAGAGGGGCAGAGAACATTGCAGAGAAGATAGCAAACGGTCTGCTGAATGAAGCAAGAGCGATGCGTACAAAGGACAACACCTCCATTCTTTACTTAGATTTCGATACTTCCCTGTAGTGTTAGGAAGACCTCAATGTAATGTATTTGGGAAGTGTCTTTAATTTGTGTACAATCTTTTGATTTACATTTGTTAGTATTCCTAGGCTATATGAGAGAAAAGAAAAAAACCTCAGTTGCAGAGAGAGCTTTAGAATGGGGAGGGGGGGTTATTAGCAAGCGATGTCCGTTTCGTCTATTGCTTATATAGTATTAAGAATATTTTTATTAAAGTTTTGTCTTATAACTAATTTTATCATTTTGAAATGTGTATGATAAGAAAGAAGAAGTGATCTTTATTATCTGAATTGGTTGGTTACACTGTTCTGAGAAGAAGAGCTCTAGAACATCTCTGAAGATCAGTACTCTCTCTCTCCCTCTCTCTAAGCAACACGTACGCTGCTTTTACAACTCACGACAATGCATAAAGAAACTGAAAATGACAAATCACTAAGTATATACAGTAGCTCAGTCACGTGCTCCTTCTTCTTCACTCTTTAGTCACATGTGACTAACCAGCCTCTACTGTCACCAGCCTCTAAAGCTAGTCTAGTATGTGAACCACTGCATTCAGGCGTGCAGGAAACAAAAGTTATCAAACAAACACTGTTCTTCTGTAATTACCAAACAGACACGGTTGCTCGTAATTGCATATCTATATGATGTAGCGGTAAAACTTCGAAATCTTTTCTTACGAGAGAAATAAGTATGTTTGACTGACGTATATGGGATAAAACCAAATAGTAAAACATAAGTCAAAGAATTTTGAAGATATTTTGGGATTCCTTAAGTCTAAATATCTGACTAGTACCTAAAATGGCAGATATGAATTTGAAACTGAAAAAAAGAAGGAAACGAAGCGAGCCTAAAAGAAGGAGTAGTTCGCGCGTCCACACTAAAAGCATGTGTCCCTACAACACCAGATCCAACCCTACTCATTTATGAAAACGTCATTATATGCCCCCCTCAACGGTTAACCAAACCCCACACTTGTTCATCTTAATTCTTCCCCCAACCACAAAAAGATTTTTATTTGGGAGAAAACAAAAAAAAAATGGGTCTGCATCCAATCTCCGACGCCAACGAACACAATCCCTTCGGATCTCTCACCGCCGACGAGTTCTACGCCAAGCATTCCGTTAGCCACTCCTCCGCATTCATCAACAACCCCCGTGGTCTCAAGCTCTTCACTCAATGGTGGTCTCCACTCCCTCCAACTAAACCAATCGGTATCATCGCCGTCGTTCACGGCTTCACAGGAGAATCCAGCTGGTTTCTTCAGCTCACATCAATCCTTTTCGCTAAATCCGGTTTTATCACCTGTGCGATTGATCACCAAGGACATGGATTCTCGGATGGACTCATCGCTCATATCCCTGACATCAATCCCGTCGTCGATGACTGTATCTCCTTCTTTGATGACTTCCGTAACCGTCAGACTCCGTCAGATCTGCCGTGTTTTCTCTACTCCGAGTCCTTAGGCGGCGCGATTGCTCTCTACATCTCGCTTCGTCAGAGAGGTGTTTGGGATGGGCTTATCCTCAACGGAGCTATGTGTGGAATCAGCGATAAGTTCAAACCGCCGTGGCCGTTGGAGCATTTGCTCTTCGTCGTCGCCAATCTCATCCCTACCTGGCGCGTTATCCCCACACGCGGCTCGATACCTGAGGTTTCGTTCAAGGAGCCCTGGAAGAGGAAGCTTGCGATGGCTAGCCCTAGGAGGACGGTGGCGAGACCACGCGCCGCCACGGCTTATGAGCTCATCCGTGTCTGTAAGGATCTGCAGGAGAGGTTCGAGGAGGTGGAGGTCCCGCTTCTGATCGTGCACGGCGATGGCGATGTTATCTGCGACGTGGCGTGCGTGGAGGAGCTTCATCGGAGAGCGATTAGCGAGGATAAGACGATCAAGATCTACCCTGAGTTGTGGCATCAGATGATTGGGGAATCGGAGGAGAACGTCGATCTGGTTTACGGTGACATGCTAAATTGGCTCAAGACCCGAGCAGAAAGCGCCGCTGAGAGGAAGGCACGCGCCGGCGGAGTTTAGAGTCCTTTTGACTCATTGGGTGTTGTGTTTGTTGTCGTCCAATAGGGCAGAGCCATCTGGCTAGCGAGTAATTTTATGGTTCACTGTTTCGTAGCGCATGGTTTACAGTTAAACCAACCAATCCCTTTGGCTTTGGCCTTTGGGTATCAATAAATATGGAATATGAAAATTATTGACATAAAAAACAAACCAAATATTTGCAAATATCAAGTTTCTCACTCTCTCTCTCTCTCAGTTTGAGAAAACAATAGAATTATCGTCAAACATCTGAGACTAATACCATAGATTAAAAAGGCAAGACGAGAGATAAGGGATGATGGGATGTTCGAACTCGCGAACTGATTGGTTCACAGAAAAAGTACAAATGTAAAGTTTGGGTACTTACGTTCATGTCAAGAGAACGTAAAATAGGCCCAAGTTAAGTAGGGTAATCGAGGCCCATGAGTCTGTAAAAACCCAAAACCACATAAACCCTGCGAAATTGGCCGCGGTTGCTGCAGTCGCCGGCGGCAGAAATGGGGAAGAAGAACAAGAGAAGTCAAGACGAGCCTGAGCTCGAACCGGAGCCCGAGCTTACAAAAATAGTCGAGGAAGACTCTAAAAAGAAGAAGAAGAAGAAGAAAAGCCATGGAGACCCGGAGCAAAAGATGAGTCTCGACGGAGACGCGAAGAAGGAGAAAAAGAAGAAGAAGAAAAGCCAAGAGGAGGAGGAGCCAAAGCTTGAGCTGGAGCAATCGAAAATTCAAGAAGAGGAGAAGCCAAATGTAGAAGACGGCAGAGCTACTGTCAGCATAGCCATAGCTGGTTCAATCATCCACAACACTCAATCACTCGAGCTCGCCACACGTGTACTCTCTCACTCCCTTCACTACTCTGCTTTGGCTTCCCGGAGGATTTTCAAGTCTCCTCTTTTCCATTTCCAATTTAGCAATTTAAAACATCTCTTATTTCTCTAACATTTCTCAGCTCGCCGGCCAAATCGCTCGTGCAGCCACAATTTTCCGAATCGACGAGGTATGTATTCTACCTCTTCTATCCTCACAGAGCTCTGTAAACTTTCTCGGGTTGCATCAAAATTACTCAATTGGGATGTCATATGCAATAGATTGTGCTAAATTCAACAGCTCTTTTGGCTTGTTTTAATCAGATTGTAGTGTTCGACAATAAGAGCAGCTCAGAAATCGAACATGCTGCTATGAATTCTTCTGATAACAATGAAAGTGGTGCCTCCTTTCTAGTTCGTATCTTGAAGTATTTAGAGACACCACAGTATTTGAGGAAATCTCTTTTCCCCAAGCAGAATGATCTTAGATATGTGGTGTGTACTGTCTTTTCTTAAGTCCTTTCTCTTCAACTTTCTCACTTTTGTATTCCATCTTTCTTTTCTAGTGTCTTGTGACTAGATTTTGCTTTGCTTTGTCTGATCTATGTAAAGGGTATGTTGCCACCTCTTGATGCTCCTCACCATCTGCGTAAGCACGAGTGGGAACAATACCGTGAAGGTAACACCATACTTTCATCTCTAGTTATTAAATCTTTAGTGACACCTTAGAAATACGAAATCTTACAAAAAAACTGGTGTGTAGTATGAGTCAAGCTATCACCTTTCTTTGTTGTAGAAAAGCTGCTATATTTTCACTTTTTTTTTTGAAATGATAACCTTATAGGTGTGACGCTGAGTGAAAAGGCTCCAAACTCTGAGGGTACGATGGTTGATGTGGGTTTAAGCAAGGTATTTTAAGTTGGGATATCTCAAATCCTCATTGCACTCAGCCGGGTCTTCTTTTAACCCTGTGTTTTACATATTGTTTTGCATGTGATTGACCTTTATTTGATGTTCGTGATGCAGAGTGTTGTTGTCGATAAAGTGCTTAGTCCAGGAGTTAGAGTCACAGTAGCCATGGGAACCAACCACGATTTAGGTATGATAATCTCTATTATCTTTCATTATTCACCTGTCTTCAATCTTTAAATTTCGATTTAGATAATTTATTGACCTTGTTTCTCAAATCATCATTGCACTCAGAAACTGTCCCCTAAAGAAATTTAGACGTTGAAATAATGCCTACCTATATCTACTTGTTGAGTTAGCATATATATTGAATTTGGTTCATCTAGATTTGGTACGCCAGATTGTTGAGCCCTCTAAGCCAAGGGAAGAAGCAGGAATGTATTGGGGATACAAAGTACGATATGCATCACAATTAAGTTCCGTATTCAAGGAATGCCCTTTCCAGGTAATAATAATGATACTCTCTGCTCCTCATCCTTCTAGGAAATTAAATCATATTTTCCTGCATAACCTTATTTCCTAATACCAAGAGCAGGGTGGTTATGATTATTTGATTGGTACCTCGGAGCACGGCCTGGTAATTAGTTCATCAGAGCTGAAAATACCGACATTTAGGTGATTCTCATTTCCCTCTAACATGATATAAGTTTTGTGTCTAAAGACATTTCTAGCAGTTTGAATTTGAGAGGCTGACATAGCTGGTTTTGGCATGAAATTATAGACATCTATTGATTGCATTTGGTGGACTTGCTGGGCTCGAAGAAAGTATTGAAGATGATAATCAGTATAAGGTAACTTGATATATAGCTCTTTATCTCTCACAGATCTAAGGTATTGTGTGTTTAATATGGACATTAAGAGTATTGTGTGTTTAATATGAACATTAAGAAAAAGACTTGATGATTGCAGGGGAAAAACGTTCGAGATGTGTTTAATATATACTTGAATACTTGCCCACATCAAGGAAGCCGAACCATTAGAGCAGAGGTAATGGAAGAGTTTTTCTTATGAGCTGTGTTTATGTGAAATGGGTATAGACTATTATATGTTCCAAGATAATTGAGCTGAGGACATAGTGCAATTGAATGTGCAGGAAGCAATGTTTATTTCCCTTCAGTACTTCCAGGAACCTATCAGCAGGGCAGTGAGAAGAGTTTAAGGTTTGAAAAAAGAGTCAAAGAAGCTATTGTTCTCATAGAATTGAGTTCTTTTCTATTTGAAGAAGAGTGGTGGGTGTAATGTAACTGATGTTTTACAAATTTGAACCAAGTTTATTCTTGTACTATCTCAATTTTGGGTTATTGAAATACTCATCCAATAGTGAGTGGCACTCTAAAATGTATGTACCCAACTGTACCATACATGAAATTAAAATTCTAGTATTGTCAAACCGTTGTTGCGGTTAGTTGCAACTTTTTCATAAAGAGTCTGTGATAAATAAAACGTTATTTACCTAAAAAAAAGTGGGCCATGTAAACAAAAAATAAAATTTGAGTATTAAAGCCCGGCCCAAAAAGGAGAAGGGTAAAATTGTAAAAGCGACAAGATTTTGACCCTAAGAGACCGGTGCGCGTGAGCGATTAAATGAATTGTATGAATCGTTCGTGGTTCAGTTCTCCGTCTCGTTTATCTCTTTTGGTGCTAAAATTCTCAGCAGGGAGAGAGAGAGAGAGGTAGAACTCAAGAGAGAGCCAACAAACAACAACAAAAAAAAAAAACAGAAAAATTTAAAAAAAAATCAAAATTGAAACCGAATAGAGGAGAAGTTCCCGCGCCATGGTGAAGCAGCTACAACAGCAGGACGATCCCGTGGAGAAGACCAAGTCTCTGATCTCTGCTCTCAACTACGTTTCTCGCGACCTTCTCTTGCCTTCTCACCTTTACGATTCCGTTTCCTCCATCTACCATGCCTCCCTCTCCGATCCCTCTCCTCCGCCTCCTCCTGTAAGCTGTCTCTTCTTCTCGATTGTTTCGTGTTCAGATTCGTTACGGATCGAATTTACTGGTTATCTTGAGTTTGAGTGTATGTATATTGGTCTTGATTCGGTAGATTTTGCAATAATTTGTGCTTTGGGTTAATGTTCAGAGAATTTGTACCTCTCTAATTGGTGTTTGTGATTGTATTATTAGAACAATTCTTTTACTCCCAGAGGTAATGGTGGTGATTTGATGAGTGAGTTCGAAGATGCACTTTTGGAGCAGCGACGAAAGTGTGAATCAGGCTCTCGACTGGCTGAATTAAAGGAAACTCGGTATAAGAGTCGTATCCAGAATCGATTATCTCAACTTGAAGGTGGATTGCTGTTTTTTGCCTTGCTAGTTTTCTGCAAACTCTCTGAATATTTGGTTTCTGGACTAGCCTAGTATCCTGTGAGAGGAATGCTCACTATTGTGTTTTGAATTTAGGATTACCTTCCACTAGAGGTGAAGATTTGCAGGAAAAATGCTTACTTGAGCTTTATGGCCTTAAGGTATGTTTGACACTAGATTGATCTTTTTCTATTAATTGACACTGTTTTTAAAATATGATTTGCTTTACACTGACACTGTGTTTTGCTGTATGGCAGCTACGAGAACTACAATGCAAGGTTAGGTCGGAGGTGGGCGCTGAGTACTGGCTGCGTTTGAATTGTGCACATCCTGAAAGCCAACTATATGACTGGGGCATGATGCGGTTGCCTCGCCGAATGTATGGGGTTGGAGACCCTTTTGCTATGGAAGCTGATGATCAGTTCAGAAACAAGCGTGATGCCGAGGTCATTTGCTTTCCTTACAACTATCTACTTCTTCCTCCCTGATTTTCTAATTTTTACCCATTATGATGAATTTTTTCTTAGAATGAAAAGTCTGATGACGTTCTGAAATGATAGGAATAAGTCCCTTTTTAGAAGAAAAACTAGACTAGGAGTTGTGGATATATCTTACTAGGTTCTTCTTTTGTTTAGAGAGACAATTTTAATAGAAGTTTCTTTAAATTGTATACAAATTCTAGTTGCGATATGTTTTTTGCTGATACGTTCAAACTCTTTGTTCAGAGGTTACTGCGGTTAGAAGAAGAGGAAAAGAATCTGATTGAAACGACACAAAGGAAATTCTTTGCAGAAGTACTCAACGCTGTTCGTGAATTCCAGTTGCAAATTCAGGCGTCTCAGAGACGGTGTAAGCAAAGAAATGATTTTGTCCAGGTATGATATCCCTGCCATTCTGTTTATCATTACTCACTTTTCTTGCCATAGAACCCAGGACATAATTTAACTATATATCCTTCAATATCATAATTATACTAAATTTTACAAAAAGTAATCACTGCCATTTATCTAACAGGGCTGGCATGGAAAACAAAAGCTACGTGCTACCCGAGCAGAAAAACTGCGGATAATGGCGCTTAAATCTGATGATCAAGAGGAATACATGAAACTAGCAAAGGAGAGTAAGAACGAAAAACTAACCCTTTTTCTAGAGGAGACAAACAAAATCTTTGTTAGTTTGGGAGCTGCAGTCCAGCGTCAGAAAGATGCCAAACTTTCAGAAGGCATTAAACTACTGAAAGGCTCAGAATCCGACTTATCTGAAATTGATGCTCCCGAGGATGTGCTTCCTGACCAAGATATTGAGATCATCGAGTCTGACAATAATGATGATTCTAATGACTTACTAGAAGGCGAGAGGCAGTATAACTTGGCTATCCATACAATACAAGAGAAGGTAATTATAACTATCTTTTTCTATTTAATAGGACTATGGTTAAGTTTTTTTTAATTCAGCTATCAATGCTTTCTTTAACAGGTGACGAAGCAGCCATCGCTTCTACAAGGTGGGGAACTAAGATCCTACCAATTAGAAGGGCTTCAATGGATGGTCTCTCTATACAACAACGACTATAATGGAATTTTAGCTGATGAAATGGGTTTAGGAAAGACTATCCAAACAATTGCACTGATTGCGTATCTTCTTGAGAGTAAAGATGTGCATGGGCCTCATCTAATAGTGGCTCCAAAAGCTGTGCTACCAAACTGGGAAAATGAGTTTGCAACATGGGCACCCAGGTATGTTCCAGAGAATCTTTTATTTTCCCTTAATTGCATTGATATGGATGTGTGAATGACATATGCTTTATTTTTGTCCATTTGACAGCATTTCCGCTTTTCTGTATGATGGATCGAAAGAGAAAAGAATTGAAATACGAGCAAGAATATCAGGAGGAAAATTTAACGTGTTGATAACCCACTACGATCTTATCATGAGAGATAAAGCATTCTTGAAGAAAATTAACTGGAATTACATGATTGTTGATGAAGGACATCGGCTGAAGAACCATGAATGTGCTCTCGCAAAGACTCTAGGAACAGGGTATGTTTCTGTATGATTCTCTGGTCTTTGATGTATTCTATCTAGCATTTTAAGGAAAAATTTGAGACATGCCTTCTTATGCATTAGCTTGATGTAGTCCGAAGTGAATGGTGTTAACTGGTTGCTACTCTGATTTACCTCGTAAGTATGCTGTCACAGAGGAAATTTGAATACATTTTGCTTACACTGATTTGTCCTGGATGCAGCTATAATATTAAGCGCAGGCTTCTATTAACTGGGACGCCCATACAGAACAGTCTGCAAGAACTATGGTCGCTGCTTAATTTTCTTCTTCCTCACATCTTTAACTCGATTCAGAATTTCGAAGAATGGTTTAATACTCCTTTCGCAGAACGTGGTACTGCTAGTCTTACAGATGAAGAGGAGCTGTTGATTATTAATCGTCTGCATCATGTGGGTTTATTATACACTTTTCTTTGCTTTATTTTTGTAATAGCAAATTCGCTATGCAAAATACTCAATGTTAATATCACTTTCAGGTCATAAGGCCGTTTCTACTGAGAAGGAAAAAAAGTGAAGTTGAGAAATTCCTTCCCGGAAAGACACAAGTCATACTGAAGTGTGATATGTCGGCTTGGCAAAAATTGTATTACAAACAAGTTACAGATGTAGGCAGGGTTGGTCTTAACTCTGGTTTGTAGCTAAACTTTTAACTTCCACTCTCTCCAATATCTTTTCATCTTTCAGTAAAGAACATATATCAGGAAGTTAAATTGCTAATGAGGTCCTTTTTTGCAGGCAACGGGAAATCAAAGAGTCTACAGAATCTGACAATGCAATTAAGAAAGTGTTGTAACCATCCGTACCTATTCGTTGGAGGAGATTATAATATGTGGAAGAAGCCTGAGATTGTGAGAGCTTCAGGAAAATTCGAGCTACTTGATCGCCTCCTTCCAAAACTGAAGAAGGCTGGACACAGAATTCTTCTCTTCTCCCAAATGACTCGTCTCATCGACCTTCTCGAAATTTACTTGACACTCAATGACTACATGTACCTCAGACTCGACGGTACTACAAAGACAGACCAAAGAGGAGCTTTACTGAAGCAATTCAATGAACCGGACTCTCCCTACTTCATGTTTCTTCTGAGCACACGTGCCGGTGGCCTTGGTTTGAACTTACAAACTGCAGACACTATTATTATATTTGACAGTGATTGGAATCCACAAATGGACCAGCAGGCAGAGGATCGTGCCCATCGGATAGGGCAGAAAAAGGAAGTGAGAGTGTTTGTGTTGGTTAGCATTGGCTCCATTGAAGAAGTAATATTGGAGCGTGCAAAGCAAAAGATGGGCATCGATGCCAAAGTCATACAAGCAGGGCTCTTCAACACAACTTCTACTGGTAAAAGGAATTAAACACACACATATTCTTATCTACTACAAAACTTGATATCGTGCTAAATGCTTATCTCTTGAATCATCAACAGCTCAAGACAGGAGAGAGATGCTGGAACAGATCATGAGCAAAGGAACGAGCTCACTGGGGGAAGATGTGCCAAGTGAGAGAGAGATTAACCGGCTGGCAGCTCGAACCGAGGATGAGTTTTGGATGTTTGAACAGATGGACGAGGAAAGACGCAAAAAAGAGAACTATAATACACGTCTCATGGAAGAGAAGGAAGTTCCCGAGTGGGCTTACACTTCAGAGACTCAAGAAGACAAGACTAACGATTCGAAAAACCATTTTGGTAGTGTAACGGGTAAACGGAAACGAAAAGAAGCAGTGTACAGCGACTCTTTAAGCGAGTTGCAGTGGATGAAAGCGATGGAGAGTGAAGAAGAAGATACTTCGAAAGTATCTAAGAGACGAAAGAAAAGGGAAACAAAGACACCAATGAGTAATGGGGCAAAGGTAGAAGCAGAGTCGAGCGGAAGCGAAGAGGGAAAAGAAGAAGAAAGAAAGGAGGAGAGTGGGAAAGAGAGTGAAGAAGAAAATGAGAAGAAGCCATTATTCAGTTGGAAAACTTATAAGAAGAAAAGGACAAGATTTATCTAGCTGTTAAAAGTAGCTCAAACGCAACTAAACCCAAACTGAAGAGAATAATGAATGTTTCTTTCTACGCTTATTAGGCAATAAGCCAATTTTCTGATAATTCTGTCTGTGTCTGTATTTTTCTTTTATTCAAACCTTTGGCATAAATATGTAGAGCTTTTCTATAGAATTCAGAGCTTAAATAGATGAGATGGGGAAATTGGTAGAGCGATATTGTGTATGCAATTCCATGACATGACCTCATGTTTATGGGTGTATTATTTGTATGTTTTACAGTACTTCCATTGAGTTTCTTGGGTGAGGTACTTAATAATCCACTATTGATATAATGTAGTTATATAATTAATTTTATATTTCAAAAAGAATTGAACCACTTGTAAAATGAAAAATGACATTCGACTCTCTTATGAATTTCTCAATCCCTCAAATGAAAGATCTATTTCAAGGCATGTATTTAATCTAACATTTTTAATGATTTCTATTTTTTTTTTTTTTAATCATATGTTACTTCAATCTAAGATTTTTTTTTTTTTTAATGAAATCAAGTATTACTAAATTGATGATCTGAAAATTATCTTTAAAAATCTACCGTCTTTGAAAACATTTTGAAGATTGGATTACGATAGATTTTAGAGGATTTCTTTACTTACAAATACATAAATCTAAATCTCATGGTTTAAGTGGGTGATTTGGGAAAGATTTAATCATAAATTATAAGAATCCTAAAATCATATTTAAACTCATTAAAAACTCATATCCTTAAAAATAATGTAGGATTGAATACAAAGTTACAAATGGACACATCATTTCTTTTCTATCAACATCAGTTCATCACATGATATCAATTTAGATTTTTACAATACTTGGATAAAATAATAATATACTATCATTCGTGTTTTTGCAAATCAAATTAGTGTTTAGATTGCACTAAAAAGACAATAAAAAGTGTTTGCACACCATGAATTTAGATCTATAAGTAGGTGTAAAATGGAAAGGAATTTTGATCCATTAAAATAGTAAATATCATTATACGTATTTTTTCTAAATCTATTTTTATGACAATACTTTGGCAAAGTAGTATAAATAGGTAGAAAGAACACTCTACAGAACCAAACATAAACAAATAAAAAGGGGATTAACCTCATAGATGAAGAAGATGACCACCACCATGAAAATCATGTCTTTTGCTATGTTACTTGTTCTTTTGTTCTCTCTTGGTTAGTAGTCTCTCTCGATCTTTTCGGATATGTTATGCATTAAAGATTATATAAACGTTTTGTTTTGATCTTTACGTGGTATCCTTAAAAGTGAAAATAAAAAAAATCTGCGTATGCATGTTGCAGATGTAGTCGTTGAAGGATCAGATAGTTCGTTGTGCTGTAACACACATCCGAAATTTGGAGCGTGCAAAACGTACCAAGACAGAAAGAGATGCAACAATTGGTGTCGTGATGGATGTTCTAATAAGAAAGGCGGTTTTTGCAAACGTGTTGGTAGACTACAGCAATGCCATTGTTACTGTTAAAACATCCCCATCACTTATATTGGCTTATTTGTCTTGATTATGTCTTTCATTTACATTTTATATCACAAAGATTTGGTAATTGCATTGGTTTGATTATAAACGAATAGTTTCAATCTTAAGTAAACCAAACAGCTGCTCAATTTTATAGTGGCGATACATTCTCTTTTAACAAAAAGCCATCCGCAAAAATAAAACTGGCACCAAAGTCTCGATATGTTTTTGGTCTTTTGTAGCAGCCGGCTAAAGTAATCCTGGTACAAAACAATCAAAAACATTGAAAAGTACCAACCCAACATTACAGACTTAATCATCCTGATTAACTTCAAGGTTCTTCAGCTTCGATTCCAGCTCGCCATTCCCGTTACCTTCGTTCTCTTCATCTTCTTCGTCTTCCTCATCATCAGCTTCTTCTTCTCCATCAGGATCATTCTCGTCAAAAGCTCCAAGCAACTCTGGGGATTTCTTGAATATCTCTTTAACTTCTTCAATACCTTCTTCTGATATGATATTCCCATCGATGTTCAACAGCTTGAAAGCTTCTTTCTTGATAACAACATGAGCCAAGGCCTGTGCTCCGGCTCTTCTTATGTAATTGGTGCTCATATCGACGTATTGCAATTTCGAATGGTCTTCTTCCATACTCTTTGCAATCTGGACACATCCCTCGTCTTTCAGCTCATTCTCAGACAGATTCAACTTGTTTAGATGTTGTTTTACTGCTACACAGGCTGCAATCGCTGAAGCGGCTTCAACTGTTATGTCATTACCTGCCATCTCTAGAACTTCAATGGGTGAAGCAGACTCCTTGAGAGCGTTTGCTATGGCTATGGCACCTTCATCCTCTAGATTTAGATAACTCAAGTAAAGCTCAGTCAAGTGTTTGTAGCTTGAAAGAGTTTTGCTCAGAGAAAGTCCGGCTTCTGTGCCAAACATATTATCCCGCAGATCAAGTTTCTCCATATGAGTACAATGCTCAAGTGCTTCTGACAAGGCAATTCCCCCTTCTGAGTCGACTCTTGTGGAAGAACACCGGAAATTCTCCAGCAGTGGCGAACGCCTGACAACCTTTGCAATTGCGAGTGCCCCTTCATCACCCGTCATGTTATTGTGAAAATGAAGGACCCTCAAATTCTCTGTTGAAGGAATTAACTCAGACACCGCTTGTGCAGCTTCCTTAGAGATACCATCATTCATCAAATACAGCTCTTCCAAAGAGCTCTGGGATTTTAAGATTGCCCCAAATGCTCTAACACCTTTCTCACCCAATGCATTCTCTGATAAGTTGAGTGATAACAGGATACTACCTTCCAGCGCGTCCGAAAAGATATTCATAACTTCAAGAGCTTCAACCTCTGGTCGTCCAGCAACAAAGTCCGACAAGTCAACTTCCTTAAGCTGATCTTTCAGAGACGCCAAGATAGGCTCAGCGACACGAGCAGCTCCCAAGCCGAAACTCCTATTGCTAAAGCATATCTTAGTGTAAGCATTGCCAGGTTCCTTCAAGGGTTTGAGAAGCTCCTCAGCCTCCTCAGCCTCAATGAAAGCCCGTTGGCCTTTGGAGATATCGAAAAAAGTTTCGCGGGGAGAAGCAGAATCTTCAGAAACCGGTTCTCTTTTGACAACCACATTAGCAACAGGCCCTTTCTTGAGAACTTCCAAGATAAGCTTACTGCACTCTTTGGCATAAAGCTGTACAGCGGAGCCGCCATCACCATCAGGTTCCCTCTCAAACTGTTGGTTAGCAGTGGAGAAAGCAAAATCCTCGATCCTCTTAGCATTCTCCGTAGCCTGCTCAGTGGTTAAGCTACCGTACTTGTCAGTAAAAATGGTCTTGGAAGAGAGGTTGTTGGTTATCCGCTCAATGAGAGCTTCCCTTGTAGGTAAACTCGGCGGCCACAGTTTAATGGAGAAAGCATGAGGTCGGGAATCAAGTGTATCACCCATTATCACAAAATCCACAATAATAGTCTTATCTCACTGCAAAACATAAGACACACATGCTAGAGATAATCAGAGAAAAGCTCTATGATTCGTATCACACTTTCGATAATACGATTGGGAAAGAAAAAGAAAAACCATATTGAGATTGAATCTAATAATAAAAATAACAAAATGCTTTGGATAAATCTGTAAGAACAATTAATCGTAAAGAGCGGAGATCATCACAACAGTCTCCAGAAGAAGCATTTAAACGAACTACGAGGGACGAAGTATATAATCGGATCCGGAAACAAAAAAGGAAGAAAAAGCTTACCGAACCGATGAGGGTTGTCTGAATCTCAGAGGTCTGAGAGACTCTGTGGCTGCGAGAAGTGTGTGTTTAGGGTTTCACAGAGAAAGAACAAAAATAATATTTCACCGGAGCTCGCTCCCTCTTTAAATCTCCCTCCCACGATTGTACCAAAAAAAAAAAAAAAAAAAAAAAAGTCTATAGTCGTCACTGAGACTTATGTTATGTACCAAATTCGATTTATATTTTAATTTTTACCCAATCGCGCACCAAATAATCCACTTTTTTGGAAGAAAACGTAAATAAAATTGCAATCAACGTGGATACTAATAATAATAATATTTTTTAAGTCTTTGATGTTAAGACAACTCATCATCATCCTCGTGTAATCGAGATTTCAGACCATGACATGTGAAATGTGATCACTACATACATTATCTTATAATTTCAATTATAATATTATCTCAACTGTTTTAAAGATTTGAGTCTCAGCAATATTCATTTTTCTTCTTCTACTTCTAAGGCAAGCACTCGTTAGTTACCACTTAGCAATATAAGTGGTATCCCAAGGTCTTGTTTCTTCAACACAGAGGATTGGTGGAGCCTGGATTTTTGAATTGAATAATGGAAGTTTACCATAATGGTATATTTGGATACAACGTGCCCATTTCTTTTAAGACCGATTGTGATCAGAAGAGATTAATACAATGACCCAAAATGAAACATACGCACAGCAAATAACTAAAACAACTCAGGACCGGACGATAAAGACCTCTAACGGCGGCTTGCTTGCTCTTTCTCTCTCTCTATATTCCTTGTCTACTTACCTCTAGTTAAAGTCCAGTCTTCTTCTTCCACATTCTACAACCTCAAGCTTTGCAGGTTTGTAGTAGACTTTGTTAGAGCTCTACAAAAGTACTCTCTTATCTCTGGTATTGTTCGCTGCACCAGCTCGTTCTGCCTGCATTTCTCATTCACAATCTCTCAGACAAACGGCAATACACATATCTTAGGGGAGAGAAAGAGAGAGATCTTGTTTATATTACCAAGGCCTTGAACTCAGTTTATCGAAATGCTCCAGGATGAACAAGATACAAGCTTGCCTCAGCGACATCGCATGGAATGCTTCTGAGAGCTCATACATGTCTCCTATGCTTTCCAACGTTATATCCTTTCATATATACACAAAGTAACCGTGTCAGATTTCAATCAAGTATTATGCAAACCACATCACTTTCCATTGCAATATAATTCTGGCTAACCTGAGCAATTGTGTATTCACATAGTCGTTTCAGGCCCTCCAAGAGATACTGATCCGCCGCTCTTAGAAGATCTTTTGATATCTCAGTTGTTATGTCGACAGATCCAGTGTATATAAATCTGAAAAACATAATCCAAGTGAGTCAATTACATGTTTAAGAAAAGTTCTCACAGGTTTTAGGAAATCTCAATATCTCAAATGAGTCATTTTAAAGCCTGTAGAAGTTCACCATACCTCATCATTAACTCAAACACCTCCCATTTGATATTTGGAATCTCAATATCTCTAGCGTCTTTTTCCTGTGGTGTAAATGGAAAATAAACCATGACATATTTGTTTGCCCAAAAAAAAAAAAAACCATGACATATTTAGCTCTAATTTCCACACAAAAAAAACGTATTCTTCTGATAGAGAGCAGATCAGCATACACCCATTGGTCATTGTCATCATAGCTTGTAAACGACAATTCCTCCACAATAACACTATCAAAAAGACAAAAAAATTTAGTTCACTTACTCTGTAACCACCATCAAACATTGCGCGAAATGCATCTGAGGATGCCAGCAAACAAATTCTGTGTGCATAGAATGTCCTCCCTGCAGTATGATTTTTCTGTTTTACATATGGACTTTGGAGCTAAGCTAATTAGGCTTCCGCAACTTCTGGATTAATATATGATTACCTTCGACTAGAAATGTTACATCAGACAGCGTGGCATTATTTACATATTGCTCTCCGAGATAAACCTGTAACAAAAAGACATACAGAATACTGTGTTGAGATGCCCACCCCTTGCGTATCGGAGAACTGAAGCAAAAAGGAAACTCACCCTTTGTGTTGGAGAAGGAGGAGCAGCATCAACTGGAGAAAGTGCCATAGATTTATTTGCTAATTTATACAACGCTGCCGCACCATCAAGTTGCTGCTTAGTGTTTGTGGAACCAAGAAGACCGAGTAGCAACTCCAACCCTGACAAAAGACAACTTGATATTAAAAAAAATGCACAAAAAACATCCAAACTGGACGGTTCACGCAATAAAAGTTTGAATATCATTAGCTCATATAAATTAAAAAACTGTCACATGCCATTGTCATCTATGAATATGGTTCTCTGATCCTCGGGTGAACAGAGATGAGCAAGAGCAAGAGCAACTCGTCGTTGAATAGACTTCTCTGAAATGCGCATTAGGTACAACAGATGTCTGAGAACCTACAAAGGGAATATCAAAGCACAGAAATATTTAAGGTTGAATAGAGAAATTCAGAATCTCGACCAGGATAAAGCAATTTCCCTACAAATCGTCAATTGTGTATTATTTTTAGTCGCTAAAGATGGAAAAAAAAAAAAAACAAATTTAAAGACAAGTATAATTTAACTTACTCTTCCATGAATCTTCTCCTCCAATCTCTTTAGTGTTTTCGAGACACAATCTTTGGTTGCCTAAAGAATCATGGTATATTATCAACACATTAAGGTGAAGAGCAAGAAACATACAATTAAAGCTGCAGATAATTTTCAATATTTAGCCAATAAAAGGAGT